TGGCCCCGGAGCAGTCGCAAGCAGAAACCCGTTCTCTTCACTAGGCCGTGCTCAAAATCTCACTTCCTCGCCTCAGAATCCATCTTCCTCGCCGGTTGCCCCATTATCTAGAGTAAAGAACCGCCGAACGCGAAGCCACCGAACCACCATTCAGCCCTGGAGCACAGCTAGACTCGATCACGGCCGATCCCGATCAGATGCCCACAGGTCCATCTTCAGGTATGTATCGCCGCCTTCCAGACCCACGGCTCACCTAACCGTTGATCTAGATGGCGATGACTCGAACGATGGTTCGGACACAGAGGAACTATTGGACGCTCAACTCGTCTCGAGCAGCAGTACTCCGACAAAGAAAAGAAAGGAACCAAGCTCTCCGGAACCGGCCAGAAGCAAGAGATCCACAGCGGGAAGAAAGAAGGCGCGGCTGTATGACTAGCTTTTGAGGTTGACCAAAGAACTGCTTTTGCTTGCTTTCCCAACATTCGTCAACCGTCCTAAAACTGATCGACCAACCATATTCTGATGCCGCTATGGGTTACCTGCGCCGGCCCGTTCCTCCAGGCTTCCTTTGGCGTGCCCGCGCGCAGCGGGCACGGTCACTCCTGTTCCGAAAAAAACCATGGTATGCTCCAAGCACGGACCACTTCCGCCCCATAAAACGCCCCATCAAAACGCCCCATCAAAAAAAGCCGTACCATTTCTCCCGGTATACTGTGAAGATTTACTGTCATTATCCTAACGATTGTGGAAGGAGAGCCATCTTGTTTTGCCCGGAGGAACTTGCCTCTGACGATGAGCGTCTCGAAGTTGGGCTTGGCAGTGGTGGTGCACGGACGGTCTGTGGGGGTTTGTCGGCTGTGGGGCTGGCCCCGCTTTATAAGGGCCAATGAGATGGCGTACCCCCGGGCAGGTTCGCCGACGACCACGAAAAGATGCAGATTGCAGGGCAACACGGTCAACAAGTTGAGAAGGAAAATATTAATTGAAGCAGTTTATTCCGCTGGAAAAGCGCTCCAAACAGAGCAACGGTGGAGAGCTGTGCTACGATCTGGGCTCGGAAACCCCAGGGTCTCGCCAGAGCGCCGCGTCCTCTACGTCATCGGTTTCAGTACCCTGGCCAGATTCAGGCATGGCAGCCCATTCTTGAAACCACGACTCGTGCCTGTGGTCTTGCTCGAACCGCCGTCTGGTCTCCTCACCCCGTCGTTCCAGCTTGAGGATGGAGTCCCTCATGTCTTTATCAAGCACGTTCTTGGGCTCGATGAAGTCACTGCGCGCTGGCTTCCGAAACAGATGCAGCCCGTCCCAGCTTTGCGCCCTCGACAGCTGCACGTACAGGCTCATGAAGCTGGGCCGCGTCGCCGTGCCACTTCGAGTGGACGCCTTTGAGGTTGACGAGGACGTTGGAGAACTGCTTGCCTTGGCTCTTCTGATCTGTCATGGCGAAGGCCGGGGTGCATAGAGGCCCCGTTTCGGTGGGTGACCCACCTGAAACCCGGCTTGCCCCTCCCATCTGCCTTCTTTTGCCCCGGAGGACACACCCTAAAAATACAACGGGACGAGCATAAAGGCGAAAAAGACGAACGAGCCTTCCAAAAATAAGGGTAGAGGTCATCGGCTAGAGGCGATCGAGACCATGAAGGTTTTGTGATAGTTCGGGCGGCACTGCCTTGGGACTGCAAGATGGCGGCTGATGCCCACCCCCCATCCGGTCCGAGGTGGCCGACCAACTCACCTTCCGCCGAGACGACCGAGCCGCGCGTTGAAACCGAGCGCGAAAGCTCGCGAAGCCATGCAATCGCTCGAGGACGTGGCTACCACGTCGAGGAGAGCGGCGAGCGAGACCACGCGGGCGGTTACGACGCGAGGAGCACGCGCGTCTGGGATTTTATATGGAGCCAACAGCCGGATCGAGACGGGGAAGTCAGGTATACAGATGCTCCTGGAGGCGATCAACGAACAACGAGACGAAATGTACCGAATGATTACCTGAGCAGCGAAACACGATTGGCGAACTACGCGAGGTGATTTGCAAGCAGCACGACGCGATTCAAGAACTACATCGCCAACTTGCAGACACCAGGACCCAGCTTTCTGAAGAACTGAGACAAGCGCGGGATCAGATTGATACCCTTCAACGCCACCCGGTAGCCATGGCTTCGTCCCAACCAAGCGCAAGAGGGTCATACGCCGAAGTCGCTCGCACCCCACCATCAAGCCAGCCAAGCGGTGTGCGCACCCTCTCCTCGCGAAACACGACGCCTTCATCCTTTACCGACACGTTGTTCTGTACGATCGATACATCTAGGGTGGAGGAGAAAGAGAAGGGAAACGTCCAGGTGGCGGACATTAGAAAGGCAATCGAGACAGAGGCCAGGGCACAGGAAAGCATGGGAGACTGGCGTTGCGCTGCGGTTGTGAAGGAGGCCCGAAACCCGGACCGAGTCAGAGTAATTTGCAGGGACGAAGGCGAGGTCCAGCTCGTCAAGGAAGCGGCAGTGAAGATCAGTGTTCCTGGAGTGCGGGTATTGAGAGACCAGTTGTACCCGGTGAGGGTAGACAATGCCAACCGAACAGCGGTCCTCGATGCGGACGGAAACATCCTGCGGGGAGCCGCAGAGGCGCTAGGGACAGAGAACGACGTCAACATTGCGAAGATTGCCTGGCTCAGCAGGAAGGATACAAGCAAGGCCTACGGCTCGATGGTTGTCTACGTGACGAAGGGCAGCGAAGCAAGGCGACTTCTAGACGGGCGTTACTTCCATCTCGCCGGAGAATCCGCTTACACGACCGTTTTCGCGCCCCGGGAAGGCCCAATCCAGTGCTACAGATGCCAGGAGATCGGCCATAAAGGCCTTCGCCTGCAAAAAGCCGCAAAGATGCGGAAGGTGTGCGGAACAGGGTCACTCACTCACAAGACGTGTCAGTTCCGTGGTCCTGAAGTGCGTGCTATGCAGAGGACCACACGAGTCATTTAGCAAGAACTGTCGGGTACGCTGGTTGAACAATGGGGCCCAAGACGCTTAAGATCCTTCAGCTCAACGTCCGCAAACGGAGAGAAGTGCAGCAGAGTCTGCTAAACGACGAGGGACTCAAGGACTTCGCAGTGCTGGCCATCTCCGAACCATATGCCAGGCTGATCGAAGGCTCGGTGACGACGGTCCCAATGAGTCATCACAACTGGACGAAGCTTATACCAACGACAAGACGAGAAACCACGTGGCCAATTCGGAGCATGCTATGGGTACGAAGCGATATAGAGGTCGAGCAGATTCCAGTGCCGTCGGCAGACCTCACCGCAGCACGCATTCGGCTCCCAGATCGGGCAGTGCTGATGGTGTCAGTGTATGTGGAGGGTGGTAGTGACGAAGCACTGGAAGATGCAATGAGGGAAATTGACCTGACTGATTAGGAGGTTTCGAAACGGAACAGGGACGAGAACGGATATCATCCTGGCGGGCGATTTCAACCGCCACGACCAGCTTTGGGGAGGGGACGATGTCTCACCACGGAGACAAGGCGAGGGAGACCGCATCATCAACCTCATGGACGAACACTCCCTCTGCAGCCTCCTCCCAAGAGGCACGAAGACGTGGCAGTCAGGCGACATTGAGAGCACAATCGACCTGGTACTGGCCTCTGCAGAACTAGCAGACCAACTACTCAGATGCACGATTCACCCCTGCGACCATGGCTCAGACCACAGAGCAATCGAGACAGCTTTTGACACCACGGTGGAGGACCGTCCCAGTGAGACGAGGTTCCTCTTCAAGAACGCGCCCTGGGCGGAAATTAGGACTAGGGTGGCAGCAAACCTCGAACGCATCCCCTGGGACGGCAATGTCCAGCAGCAGACGGACAGGCTCATGGCAGCGGTAACCGAGGCGGTCTACGGCCTGACACCTAAAGCCAAGCCCTCACCATACGCCAAGCGGTGGTGGACAACAGACCTGACACGGCTTCGCCAGACATACACGTTTTGGAGAAACCAGGCGAGATCTCGACGTAGGATTGGGCAAACAGCACCAGAGCTCGAACAACGAGCCAGGATGGCAGCTAAAGAGTACTACGACGCCATCCGCAGACAGAAGAGTTCGCATTGGAACGACTTCCTGGCCGATGACGCTAACATCTGGCAAGCAACGAAGTATCTGCAAACCGGCAGCGGCACGATGGGCGATAAGATACCCCCGCTCGTCCGACCCGATGGCTCCATCACGGAGGGTAAAGCAGAACAAGCGCAGGAGTTACTCACCGCCTTCTTCCCACCTTTGCCAGCGAGAATCGAAGACGAGGGCCAACGACCTCAACGGGCGCCGGTACACATGCCAGACCTAACAATGGAGGAGATAGAACAAAAGGTCCTGTCCGCTAAGCCATGGAAGGCGCCCGGGGAAGACGGTCTACCGGCAATGGTATGGAGACAGCTCTGGCCAGTGGTCAAAGACAGGGTGCTCCATTTATTCCGGACGTCGCTTCGAGACGGCGACATCCCCAGCCAGTGGAGGAATGCCAAGATCATCCCATTGAAGAAGCCAGGGAAGAGCGAATACACTCTAGCCAAGTCCTGGAGACCCATCTCGCTGCTCTCCACGCTGGGTAAGATACTGGAGGCAGTCATTGCGGAGCGTTTATCCCATGCTGTGGAGACCTGCGGCCTTCTACCCGCCAACCACTTCGGAGCCAGGAAGAGACGCTCGACCGAACAGGCTCTCCTTCTGCTTCAGGAACACATCTACAAAGCATGGACGAGCTAGGAAGGTGCTCAGATGTTGATCAGCTTCGAGTGTCAAGGGCGCATACAATGGGGTCTTCAAAGACAGGCTTCTCCCCAGAGGCTCAAGGCAAGAGGGATACCTGAACCCCTGGTCAAGTGGATCGACGCCTTCTGCTCCAAGCGCACAGCGACCATTGCCGTAAACGGGTTCACATCTGGACGGCAAGAGCTGCCCCAAGCGGGTCTTCTCGCAAGGATCGCCGCTGTCTCTCAGTGTTGTTCCTCTTCTTCAACGCTCGACCTAGTGCAGCACAAGATCGACGCGAACGGAGGCGCAATTGCCTTCGTGGACGACTACACTGCCTGGGTAACGGGCCCGTCAGCGTAGTCGAACCGCACTGGAATCCAAGGCTTGGATTCCAAGCTATCATCGACAAAGCCCTTGACTGGGAGAAACGGAGCGGTGCGCAGTTTGAAGGCGAAAAGACAGCCATCATACACTTCACGAGGAACATGGAGCGATTTTCAGAACAACCGTTCTCGGTCAAAGGCGAAGTGGTTCAAACCGAAGGAAAGTGCGAAAATCCTAGGTGTCGTGATGGATCGCGAACTCCGCTACAAGCAGCACATTGCTAGGACGGCAGCTAAAGAAAGGCCTCGCAGCCGCTCTGGCCCTGAAGAGGCTGAAGATACTTTCCCCGCGGACAGCGAGACAGCTATTTGTTGCGACAGTAGCCCCGGTCATGGACTACGCTGCCAATGTCTGGATGCATGCGTGCGGGGAAAAGGCACTGAGCTGGCTGAACAGGGCGCAGAAAATCGGGGCCCTGGCCATCACGGGAGCCTTTCGAACCGCGGCAACAGCCGTGGTGGAAGCTGAAGCGAGCATCTACCCCGTACGAGAACGACACGCCCAGGCGGCAGCCAGTCTGTGGATCAACATCCACACGCTGCCCGGAACGCATCCCCTTGCCATGAAGAAAGTCCGGAACACCGTACGATTCGTATCTCCGCTGCAGAAAATTGCCCGTGTGGCCGAAGGAGTACGAGTTGACCGGATGGAGACAATCCAGGAATACGCCGTCCCGCCCTGGGCACCTCGCCTACGACCGACGCTCGAAGCCGATCGAGGGAAGGCGGCCGAGATGGTCAACAAAATTTCGGGAATCGTGATCGCAACCAGCTCATCCGTAAAGAAGGGCATTGTTGGCATGGGCGGCCTTGCACGGGATATTCTCTTCAACAGAACTAGCGAGACTGTGACAAACTATGCTGTTGTTCTTGGGACAAGGGAAGAGCAGAACCCATATACAGCAGAGCTAGCAGCCATCGCAATGGCCCTGGAGAAGTTACCGGCTAGCATCTGCCACAGGCACATCACCGTGATCACGAGGAACCAGTCAGCGCTGGCAGCAGTTGGACAGCCGCGGCAGCAATCCGGCCAAAGCATCATACGGCAAATCTACGACTTGGCCAGGCTGCACCGACAAAGAGGGAACTCGGTCAACTTTCTGTGGATACCAGCGGAGATTGACTTCGCACTGGGGTCAGATGCCAAGGCAGCAGCCCAGAGAGCGTCGAAGCAAGGACGCACACCCGACTCCCAAATACCCCAGGCCAAGTCTACCGCGATGAGGCTGGCAATGGAAAGACAACGGGCGACAAGAGTTCTACCTGTAAGCGTGGGCAAGTTCTCAAAGGCCATGGACGCAGCACTACCAGGCAAGCACACGCGCCATCTCTATGACAAGCTGAAGCGAAGGGAGGCCTGCGTATTGGCGGAGCAGCTGACCGAACCGGAATGGCGTAGACTGAACGGTTTTTTGAGCAGGATTGGGGCGGTCGAGTCAGACCTTTGTGCCTGTGGACAAGCGAGGGAATCAGTGGAACACTTTCTTTTCCGATGCGTGAGATGGACAGCTCTGAGGGAAGACATGCTGCAATGCACAGTGGCAAGACGAGGAAGCCTCTCGTTCTATCTGGGAGGGAAAGCGCCATCAGATATAAGGAATTGGTCACCAGATATGAAGGCAGTCCGGGCGACGATCAAATACGCAATGGCAACAGGAAGGCTGGAGCTGAATGAGGAGGAGAGTCTAGACCAGTCACAGTAGAAGAAGCCGACACTCAACACCACGAGCCTCAACCACGAGCCTTAACCAGCAGGTCCCGCTTTAGCTGCTGAAGATAGGACGCTGAACACTTGGAGAAAGTAGCCTCCAAGCTGATCTGCTAACAACAAACCAAGGCAAGAGGTAAATGGTGCAGCGAGAAAGAGGGAAGAAGTAGGGGGCTTTGTACGAGTTAAAGGCAAAAACGATTTGATTCCGGATGTAGTCAGCGTGCTAAGGCCCTATAGGCCCAGTGCCTCCGGGCGAAATAAATTCCATCCATCCATACTCCCCGCGGTCGGAAGGCAAGAGGTAAATGGGTGCAGCGTAGAAAGATGGGAAGAAGTAGGGGGCTTGTGTACGAGTTAAAGGCAAACCGATTTGATCCGGATGTAGTTAGCGTGCTAATGGCCCTATAAGGCCCAGTGGCCTCCGGGCGAAATAAATTCCATCCATCCATCCAACCCGCGGTCGGCCTCTTTTCCTCCGGCTTCCCTAGCTTTAGCAGTAGCCTCAGAATGGGGACTTCGTCTTCCTGCTTCCAGCCCTGTTGCCTGCTCCAACGGCCCTCCATGAAGAGCTCCTGGAATGTGGCCCACTTGTCATACGAGATCGTTTGCGACTGCCGCCCGTCCAGCCTCCACGACGGCTCGATCCCCTCGCCCAGCAGCTCGCCCTCCAGGAAGATGTCTTTGATGTACGAAGCGAGCACCTCGGCGTGATGCCGCTCCAGGGCGCTGCGCTGCGACGACGGGCCTTGCCCCTTCCACCGTCCCTTCCCCGCGTACGGCAGCTCGGCCATCGGATTCAACAACCCTTTCGGGCACTCTCTGCTTCTCAGTCTTCATGTCCAGTTGTAAATTTGTTTTGACCCAGGCCTGGTAGGAGCGTGGTGTATTATTTAACCATGCAGGGAGGTTGAGCGTCACTCTAGCCACCTATGGAGGTTAGAAGTCTCTTATCGACACCCTTGCCGGTAGGGAGATTGTGCTACTTAAATCAACACATTGATGTCCTGCTCGCCACTTGGAAAATTGTCGGTTTTATTTCTTGCCATGAATGGAGGTTACATAATTACCACCAGTCATAACTATCGACCTTCATTCCATGCCTCTTTCCCCAACCCCCCTGTCCATTAAGATCCGAGATGCGACGGATCTAAGTCCGAACAACAGAGAACTTGCTCAATCCGACTCATATCTTGGCCTGTACGCGCACGCTCGACCAGGTAATGAGCGAGTTGCCATGGATGTTAAGAAACGTAAGTTTCTACATACGTAGGTATAAATTCAACAATGTTCCGCCACATATCGCCTCTGATCACCACATCTGGTAGTAGACACACCTTAATCTCCTCCCCTAACTACCAATCATGGCCACCATGTTGACAATTCCATGCCTCGCGGAGACTTTCACCGGCCTCTCCTTGTTTGGAGCGGAGTTCCTCTCAATTGCGGCAAGCCCTGTTACCAACTACAGCATCTCGGTCCAGGTGTCCGACAGGTTCACCCAGCCAGCCGTTGAGGTCCAGAACGTGGCCTTCTGCAACGTCACCGTCACCTACACGCACCCCGGGCAGGCCGACACCATTGCCGTCGAAGTCTGGCTTCCCCCAGCGGACGGATGGAACGGGCGGCTCCAGGCTGTCGGGGGTGCCGGGTGGGTAGCTGGACGCAGCCCCCTCACTGCCGTCGCCATGGCCGGTGCGGTGAGTGACGGCTACGCCACGGTCACGACAGACGCCGGTCTGCGAGACCCCCAGGACTCTGTTGTTCCGTGGGCACTTCTCAGCCCTGGCAACCCGGACCTGTATTCGTTACAAAACCTCGCATCCGTGTCCTTGGACGATGAAGTAAGTCCGAAATAGGTCCAGGCGTAGGGGAATCTCAAAGGTATCTTACTGACCCGTCAACGAAGGCAACCATCGCCAAGTCTCTTATCAAGGCTTATTACCGCCGCGGGCCCGAGTATTCCTATTGGAATGGCTGTTCCCAGGGCGGTCGGCAAGGTCTCATGCTCGCCCAGCGTTATCCCACGGCATACGACGGCATCGCCGCCGGCGCTCCCCCACTCCACTGGACAAACGACCTCCTCGCCATGTTGTGGCCACAGCAGTTCATGAGCATGCTCGGAAAGCATCCTTACCCGTGTGAAATACAGGCAATCTCAGCAGCTGCAACCGCAGCATGCGATGGATTGGACGGCTTAGTCGACGGCATTGTTAACGACGTGGAGGGTTGTCTGGCCAGCTTCGATGTCTTTGAACTAGTCGGCCGGGCCATCACCGACTGCCCCGAAGTCTCCGAGATCACCTGGGAAGCCACCGCCGTCGTAAATGCAACCTGGCAGGGTATGCGCAACTCGCACGGCGCGAATGTGTGGCCGGGGCCCACGCCAGGTACCGACCTGGCTATCGGCGTCGCCAACAACGACTGTACTTCGGGAACTTGCCAAGGTGTACTGGTACCTGTCTCTGTGCCATGGGTGACTCAGTTTATCGCCAGGGGTGCCGATCTAGACTTTACCAACTTGACCCACGCCGAGTTCGACGAACTGGTACACCAAGGTCAGCAGAGATACAGGTCGATCATGGGCACTGACGACCCTGACCTGTTTGCCTTCCGCAACGCTGGTGGCAAGATGGTCACGTACCACGGCCTGGTGAGTCTCCTTGTGACATTTACGTCCCCGACTAGAATGGCACAAGCTGCAGTTTTTAACGACGGTTCGTGCATATGCAGATTGATCAGCTACTCCCCCCCAAGGGCACCATCAAATACTACGACGCAGCTTCGGCCCTCGTACCAGACATCCATGACTTTTACCGTCACTTCGAAATTCCCGGCATGGGTCACTGCAGTGGAGGAGGACCGAGCGGAAATCCGACCAGCCTCTTTGACCAACTACGCGCGTGGGTTGAGAACGGCACCGCGCCCGACAGCTCCCCGGTTCAAGTCACAGACTTGGAGGGGGGCGTGGGAGAGCGAATTCTGTGCCCGTACCCACAAAAGGCCATCTTTGATCGGGACTGTGGTGCAGCGGGCGAGAGGCGGTGCTGGTCGTGCAAATAAGAAGCAGTTATTGAGCCCCTGGCAACCTCATTATGATTCCTGTATTGGAGAGAACGTTCAATAATACACAGCCTGCTTGAGGCCGGCGTTGCAGAACTTGTTTCTCTCAGTAATGGCGGACTCCCCGTCTAGCTGCTCGGTGTTTCGGAGAACACTTGCCCGCCACGCGGGATAGCCCTTCGCCCCCTGCGTGCTGTTCATTTTGTCAAGGAGCGGCGCATTCCAGGGGTTTCGTATGGTTCACAGGCCACTCCTTTCCTCGAGGCTTAATTTGAACAGCCAATCCCTTTTACTTTTGAGAGAGGCTCATTTCCGCGGAGGTGTCCCAGCTCGTGGATACCCGCCCGAGTCGCCTAGGTACCTTAGGTAGGTATGTTGACGCACCTACCTACCTACATATCTTGTAGCCAGTCGCCTTCACAACTTTCCGCCACATCACACCGACATTTTAACCGCTTTCTGGGAGACACTCTTCCGTGAGACACGCCTACGTGGTTGCTCGGTTCTGCCCAGTCAACAAGGGGTTGAGCTGCAGTTCAGCTCGACGCTAGGCAAGAACTCGCTGATCATTTTCCCCATAAGTGGGCAAGTGCTTTCAATTTCAAGGAATACACCCACGACGACTCAGGGCCTATCTTCTCTATATAAGGTACCATAGATAATGTGTCTCCGGCTCGGTTTCCGCATGAAAATCAACCCCTCCGCACAAAGCCCATCCGCCAGCTTCTCTCGACTATTACCATCGGTCGTTTCTTGAAAAGGCCCCTCCCAAATATGGCGACCCAGATTACCAGCCGCTTCGCCGGCCACGGCGACGCCTGCGTCAACGGCGGCGTGCGCAGTGACAGCCGCAACCAAGAGGGCGGACACGATGCGTGCCATGATCCCAGAACCACCGAGACCACCATTGGGGAGGTCTATGACAACTTTGCGGATAGCTACGAGAACACAATAGAGGAGACAAGACTTCGAAGCTTTCAGCGCGAGGTTTTTGCGCAGTTCCCGCATCACGGATTCACTCTCGACCTGGGCTCAGGCACGGGGGTTGTGGGAATGTTGATACGCCAGTCACCCCTCAACGCATCCTCGACGCAGTCCAGAGTTTACGTTCACGGCGTTGATGTCTCCACCCGCATGCTCAACACACCGTGGTGTGTGCGCTATTACGACTCAACGCAGCAGGGCTTCATTCAGGACATCCTCATGGACCCCGACGCGTCCTGGCTGCAACAAGCCGTCCAACCCGGAGCGGCCCAGAGCTGCAGCGTCTCTGGGCCGGCAGTCGACCACATCACCTGCTTTGGCGCGCTGCACTTTCTGAGCCCCAAACAGTTCGAAGCCGCGCTGAGCCGCATGTTTGTGCTGGCCCGCCGCAGCGTCATGTTCGACATCGACGATATTTGCCCCTTTTACATGCAATACATTCTCGAGAAACTTGGGGAGGGTTTTAGGAACTATAATCACATGGCTGCGTACCGCAAGTTCGGGACGCCGCCCGGTTGGGTCAAGGTCGTGGAGGAGGAAGCCGTACTCTACCACTCGCCGAATGTTGGGGTTGATATGAGGGGTGTCTTGGTAAGGTTTGAGCGGGTGGAGTGAGCGGTGGTGTTTGTTTATGTCGGGATGAAATCAGCAGTCAGGATTATCATGGTGTTTGGCAGCAAGTAGAATAGGAAGCGAATGCGAAGTAACTGGGCCCAATGGCGAGGTGTTGTCAGAAATATACGTGTTATTTTATGTGATGTGTAGGTACGAGAAACAAAAAGGAAGCCCGAGTCCGAAGGAAAGCAGATCAGGGAAAGGGCGCCGGGTGAGAAAAAGGAAAGAAAGGGTAATAAATAGACTGACTAAACATGCCTGGGGGGTTGCTTAAAGGCGGATGGAGTTTGCAAACGCTGTCACCAAAAGGATGACAAGAAGCGGGCTGACGAGCCTTTCCCTTTACTCCGCCGAGAACCACCTGGACTTTGGAGAGATGCCAGACTCTCTACCCATCCCCCATCCCGCCGAAGAGATGGTTATCTCGCGGGTCCACGTTGCAGTCAACGTGTTTACGGTGTGTTCCTTTCCATCTTTGTTGGCATTGCTTCTTACTTTTGGCTTTCAGGTCTGGGGCCAGCAGTACAAATATCGCGGCCATGTTGTTCATTTCCTTCGCGACGTAGGCAAGATCTATGACGAACTTCCATTGCTGCCCAAGGATTTGGATATCGTGATTCTGCGTCCGAGCGGTTCTGAAGCCGATCCCGCGATGGACCGGCAGTTTCGCAAGCGATTCCGCATTCGACGCCGAGTGGTGGCTACCTGGCTCCATTCTTAGCGGTGCAAGGCGGGTATCCACGAGCCGGGACATATTCGCTCACAGCAGCGAGTGCTCTCTCTTCGGCTTACGACCTTAAGCGGCTTATTTGTTGAAGCCGTTCCTTCCTCTAAGCCGTAGAGTGACTGCTCTCGAATGCAAGAGCGGTTGGGTACTAGCTCGAGGGAAGGAGCGGGCTGTGGATCGAACCGGTTAGGTGCTCTAAGCCGGCAACGTACCGTCAACCTCCTGCTCACTCGCCTGGAGCTGCTCTTTTTGCTCAAGCCGGGATAAATTCGCTCAAAGCGTAAGCCGTCAAAGGCTTTTCAGTCTCGGCATGGGGCGGTAATGTTTCCTGTCACACAACCATCCTGGCTACAAACAATTTCTCTTTAACGAATCAAATCTGAGCCAGCTACCCGAAGATGAGTCCATCTTCGATCAACTTACCATCCACGAAGTGAGCAGCTGGGACGACCTCGAGCCCGACCAGGGCCCAGTCGACGGTGATAGGCCGGAGAGCGAGGATGGACTGGGGTTCGATGAAGCAGCTGTACCCAACGTGCTGGTCAAGGATTCGGAATTTGTCCTGCTGCAGGGCGGACTCGAAAACACCGGCCCAGAGAACCAAGAACGTCCTCCAATGCAGCAGCAACCGCGCGACGCTCACCACCTTTCTATGCCTCCCATCAGATCCACGCCGATTAACGAGTTTAACCCGGTCGTAGGCTCTGCTGTCGCTAGCATGTCCCAGCCTCTATCCACGCGGTCTTGCTGATTTCATCCAGCCGAGGCAATGCGCCATCAGGTACTCGGATTACTTGGCGCATGCGATGAAGTGGCATGATGGGCGTTTTGCCCGCCATCATACCTTCCGTTACATCACATTGAACACCCTCATGCGGCAGCAGGCCTATGGGCACAGCCGGTTCTACGTCAACAAGCAGCGGTCTACCGTCCTAACCAAGGCGGAGTTACAGCAGGCACTGGAGGATCCCGACCGTCCTGAAGCTCAGGCGATCCTCAACCAGATCTCCCGCTTTGCTGGGGCGATTCAGGGTACGAGACCCTATTGGTACCGCCGGCGCAGGGAGTGCGAATCTTTCGCGCACTGCATGGGCGTCCCCGGCGTATTCATCACGTTGAGCCCAGCCGATCTGCACTGGCCCGACCTCTACCGGCACATGCCGGAATTCGAGCGGTGGCAGGTATTGGACGAGCCGGCCCGGATCTCGTTGTCCGGTCGCCTGCTTCGTGAGAACCCCCATATCGCGGCGTGGTACTTCACCGCGCGGTTCAAGGCATTCCGAGACGTGGTGTTGACCAAAAAATTCAACCTTTCGGACTTTTAGTGTCGGTACGAATGGCAAGGACGAGGCAGCAGTCATAACCACGGGCTGTACTGGTTTGAAGAGGGCCCGCAGCAGGCTACCAGCACAGATGAGGAGAGGGCGAGGTTCGCACGGTTGTGGGGTTACCACATCTCGACGGAAAACCCCCAGCCCCATCGGATTGGACAAGGAGGTGATGGCGGCAACCCACTGAACGTCGACGCCCTGCAGACGGAAGTAACATGGGAGTGGCTGGATCGCATCCTCAACCGGTGCTAACGGCATCATTGCTCGTCCACCTACTGCCTACGCATCAACAAACGCGCGGCGGAACTGGCAGAGGAGAACGGCGAGCCGGGACCCGAACCGGAATGCCGGCTTCTGTTTCCCCGCCCGCATCGAGAGAAAGCCGGCCTGATTGGAAGGCCGGGCAAGACGTGGTGGTCGTTTGAGGCGGTACGGAACGACTCCCCCATGAACCAGTATAACCGGCTCATCACGCTCTGCTGGCTGGCCAACACCGACATCTCGCCCTGCACCGGGATCGAGGCGGTGATCAACTACGCCGCCAAATACTGCAGCAAGACCGAGACCAAGACCAGCACGTACGCCGAGATCGCCGGGGCCATGTTGCCACACGTCTCGGACGGGAACCCCATGCTGTCGTTTGTCTCGAAGATGATGAACAAGTTAATTGGCGAGAGGGATTACGGGAGGCAGAATTCTCGGAAGCGGATGAGGCTGTCCAGACGGAGAAGATGTCGTACGAGAAATACTTGGAACGGCTTAGTGACATGGAGGCGGTGTCGTATTTCAGGTTCTTGGAGACGTGGAACTTCCAATCGCCAAATCCGGGCAACTGGAGGGAATGGCGCCCACCCGCTCGGCCCAGGGTGTTGTATTACTTCCCGCGGTACACGCCGGTCCATGGGCACGTACAGTTCGAGGACTTCTGCCGGGTCAAGCTTATGCTGGCACATCCTCATCGGGAATGCGGCGGCTTTCTAACCCTCGACGGTACCCGTTTCTCAGGCTACGTGGCGGCATATGAGCACTGCTTGGAGCACCATGAACATGAGGATGACCACTACGGAGAGGCGGAAGCGCCAGAACCCGCGGCTGACGAGGACGAGTTCCGGGCTGTACCCTTCCAGGAAGATATCAGTCTCGAAGACTGGCAGGAGCTCGCACGCATGGTGCCTGAGCTCCTGTTACAAGGGGTGGAATTCCAGGGCTTGAACAATCAGCTGCCGGGGGAACCGGCAAAACCAAATGTATTAATAAGAATAATCTTCAATGGCCTCGAGAAGTCCATGAAGAGAGAAAGAGAAGTTCTGGAGCTATCTGACATTCTGAGTCTTCTTATACATGAAGGGTTTCGATGAGAAGGTGAGGAAGGGCGTCTGACGAGGACGCCAATAAAATTAGTGAGGCTGACCGATGAGTGGCCATTGATTTCTGAAGACGATTGGTGATGGTTGCGTCCACGTGGTGATCCGTGTGACAGCTCCAGCCAGAACACGAGGAGATCGACCTACTGACTGGGCGAGATATCGACATCAGGTACGACTGGCATCCCCACATCGGCCGGTATATCGATGAACGGTTCGACAGCGGCAAATACTGGGATCTTCTCAAAGTCAAGCACCCCAGTATGGCGGGAGATGTCGAACACATTCCTCTGAAGGCCCGGGATACCCTCAACCGGGAACAGAGGATCGTGTACGACACTATTATGGGCCACCTAGAACGGGATAGCGTACCGCCCATCCTGTTGCATGTTGACGGCGGCGGAGGCACCGGGAAGTCGTACATGGTCAACATGCTGTCGTCTCACCTCCAGCAAACTCTCCCCGGCCGAAAATCGCCCATTCTCCGTGCCGCACCCACCGGGGTCGCGAGCAACCAGATCAATGGCCAGACGCTGCACTCCCTCCCCCGCTTGCCTATCGATGGCAACTACCGCCCGTTGACCGAAATACCCACTGTTTTGGGGAACCTACAGCGTGTTTTTGCGGGTGTACGTTACCTCGTCATCGACGAAAAGAGCATGCTGGGGCTCAAGACTCTGGGTTGGATCGATCGGCGGCTCCGCGAGATCTTTCCGGAGAAGAATAACTTCTCTTTCGGCGGATTGAGCGTCATTCTGATCGGAGACTTCTTCCAGCTGCCGCCGGTGCTGAACAAGCCGATCTATGCCGAGTACGACAGGTCGATGAAGGAGATGGAGTGTGACGAACCTACTTCAGGACCCTGTCCTGTTAGGGTTCAGCTTCGGTTGAAGGTAATCTCTCAAGGGTGCTTAGGTTCGGTGCAGCCAAGAGGTGCACAACAAAGGCTTGTCTCAACAGTAGGCTTCCGAGCTTGTAGCGAACTGTAGTTGTGATTGCTAACTGGAGAACTCCCAGAGCTCTCCAGAACGAGTGACTATATACCTATCGAAACCCAAAGGTACCGCCGTACCTTTGGTGCGGGATGCCCGGTGCTATGTTGCTAAGTGCTATGTCTGGTCTTAGCGTCATAGCACCATCGCACTTGCATCCCGGCGTCCTTGTCCTTCGATCCGATTGGTTCGTTTAGCGATTGGCTCTGGTGCCCTGCGCCTCCCAAACCCCATCTGTTGGCATATTCGTGACATGAACCCTAACAGGACAGGGTCCTAAAGTAGGTTCGTCACAACTTCCCCTTTCGAAGTCGCTCGGCATCTTCGGCAGCTAGCTCGGCCTAAAACTCGACCATCATAAATTCCATCGAGTTGTTTTTAGTATTGATAGTTAACTCGGGCTCAGCCTCTGCGGGAGCGCTGCTACATTACAGCGACATGGCCCTTTATGGAAAAAGACTTGCAAGCTAAAACCTAGCGCGACTGGGGCCGGTTATAAATACATACCGTTACATCGACCTAGAAAACTATACGATTGGAGCGCATAGCGCTCGGTAGCTACATCGCTGCTAGCCCGAGGGACGCTAGATTCTACACTCGATATTTGCACAAGGATGCCTCGGCCGTGGGCCATTCGGACCAAGTTTCCATCAATCCTTCTTTACGTACCCCCTTTCGTCGTTTCAATTTGAACGCTTATGCCCTAGCGCTCGGAGTATCACCGTCCGCTATAGAAACTTCTTAAACATAAAAAGCTACCCTTAAGCCCTACTGTTTCACGTTGGGCCATTTCGCTGTACTCACCTACCTTAGACACTTGTTTACTATCTCCTCGAAGACGAGAATATAATGCGTTTTTCCGGGTTTGTAGTAGGCTTAATGGCTCTCGTGGGGGCCCATGCCGCTGCTATTGACGCGCAAGATCAGCTTGTTAAGCGAGCCTCTCTTACCCAAGTCCAGAACTTTGGCGATAACCCATCAGGCATCAAAATGTTCATCTATGTCCCCGCTACACTGCAAGCAAAACCGCCTGTTGTGCTGGTTCTGCACGCCTGTGCTTGGACAGCGAACGCGTTTTTCGGGACTACGAAGTACGGCCAGTTGGCGGACCAACACGGCTATGTGTTGATCTACGGCCAAACGCCGACCGACGGGGCATGCTGGGATGTCTCGTCAAAACAGACATTGACCCATGATGGCGGTGGCGACAGCACGGGCCTAGCCAACATGGTCAAGTACGCCCTCCAGAAGTACAACGGTGATACCAACCGCGTGTTTGTCACGGGCGAGTCATCCGGTGCCATGATGACGGTAAGTAGTTCTGTGTCCTTGACTCAGATTTGCGTCCTGTCCGCTGAGTCGAATTGCTAACATTGGATATTAATATAGCAAGTGATGGCTGCCGTCTACCCCGACCTGTTCGCGGCCGCCTCCGAATTTAGTGGAGAGCCGGCCGGGTGTTTTTACACCGGCACGGTTAGGGGCTGGAACAGCCAATGTGCCGGCGGCCAGGTCCACCATACACCCGCGGAGTGGGCATCCATGGTCCATGACATGTATCCCAACTACAATGGCCGGTACCCCAAGATGCAAGTCTTTCACGGGGATGTCGACACGACGCTCAACATCAACAGTTTCAACGAGTCTGTGAAGGAATGGTCTGGCGTCTTTGGCTACGCGGGCAGTCCGACTCAGACCTTCGACAACAACCCGGGATCTAGGCTAACCAAATATATCTACGGTGACCGCCTACAAGGAATTTGGGGCCATGGTTTCGGTCATGTTGTACCGACAAATGAAACGGAAGCCCTAACTTGGTTCGGCCTCCTCTGAATGGGCATCGCCAACACTGGACTGAGCGGAGGTTTCAAGCATTCTATAGATATAGTTATTAGTTTCTAGAAACTTTGTATATCTCTAAATCTCTCCTCGCATCTCTCTTCGCAGCCACCAACCCACTAACATCTCTTTCGCCTTCCCCGAACCGTTGGAATAAGACGTAGCTAGCATGACGGCCCCTCTTGGACTCCGAGGCAAACATCATTACCTCCAGCCGGAAAACTGATAACTTAGCGAGTCCACGAATGTCTCCCTATCGCCAAAGGCTTCCTGTCACTATAGTCGGAAACCGGGGCAGTAAATGAATGGGTTTATTGTTGAGAGGGCGGAATAGATAATACAAAGACTCAGCTGCGTTAGCTGCCTGCCAATTGAAGTCAAGGCAGCTCGCTACCTTAGACATGTATACATGTGAGTCCAGGACTTGCCCCTCCTATACTGGAGGCCATTTCACAACCGACGACTTCCTCTCTCCAGGCAATCTACCCAACCCCAAGTCCTGTAACCCACTTAGCACACATACCCCAATGCCCGCCTCTTGGTATGTTCTCGTACCTTTGAGTGCGGCTTCGGTCAAGATCATGTCCCATTAACCATAGCTACACGTACAGCCCTTTCTTAGGGCAGGATCGGTGTGTGGGTAGGGTACGCAGAGATAACCTCTACCGCAAGGTTTTCCCTCAGCCCCGCATGCCGAAGTCGAACAAGGACCGGTGTATTGACCAAAGGTAGCGGCCACGAGGGCGAGCAGAAGGAGCGTTGACCTGTTGGATAACATGACGTTGCTTGTGTGGAGGTGTGCCTTGCGAATGGCCCGCCGCTATTTCGAACTTAGGCTTAACTGAGATCGGGGAGGGGGCTGGCCCCTTTATACCTTTCAATACAGTGCCCAGCCCCTGGACAGGCGACAGATTACCAATGAAGATTGAGATACTTCCGGCTTGGGCCGCCTTGGCCTTCTTGTGATACAGCGCTGATTCGTAGGATAAGAAGATCAACGAAGAGTCATGCTTAATCAGTCGTCAAAGCGGGATCGAATCGGGAACTTAATCTTGGCCGCCACGTCGATCGGTATCATTACAAACAGATATTACAACAAGCGCTGTCCATCGAACCCCTCGCCTTTACGCCGCACCATTGAGGGCACTCATCTCCTTGGCATGCCCGTACACCAGCGCCTGCGCCTCCTCGTCATCCAGATAGATGGTGAAACCATCGTTGTGGTTCCGGCCATAGGAGTAATCCGAGTAGCCGAATTGCCAGTACATGCTCCCACCCAACTTCTCCTCAACAGTTGTCTTTTGCCAACCACCAAGAACTTCGACGCGGGACCGGTTGTCTACCTTGCCTGTGTACTCGAGCCGCTTGTCAGGCGTCAGCCAGCCATATTCTTCATGTACGACAGGTTTGCCAGCCTGCCTGCCCGCGGCGGCGTGATCACGGATCCACTGGTCTGTCCACTCAACTGTCTTGCTCCACCAGTCGGGGTAAGAGTGGAAGACGCCAAAATCAATGGTGTCGATGGAGAGCTCGTGGTCGAAATCGCCACCGTCCGAACCATTGTAGGCCCAGTCGTCGGATTCGCGGTTGAACCCGCCTTCGCCGCCCCATGTCACGAGATGGTTGCTGTCCAAGTCTTTGATGTATGCGCTAATCTCGGACACCCAAGAAGAAAGGACCTCTGGTGTGCAATTATCGCTAGGCGGCAGGTTGCGGACTCCATCAGCGCCGCACCGGGGTTCATTTCCAAGTTCCCAGGCGAAGATGGCTGGGGAGTCTTTGTAGCGAGTCACCATCTCCTTGACGTAACGCTTGAATGCATCCTTGATCTTGGGAGCGGTATAGAACTAGGTTTATGTCAGTTTCACAAGATGTAGGAGTGAAAGAGAAGAGATCAACCTACATCATCGTGGTACTTGCCCCCGAGGTTGACGGTGTAGACGTCCATGCCCCCATAGTCGGCCCAGTTGTTGGTCAGTGCAACCAGAAGTTTGATGCCAACTTTGTCCGCAGCGTTCACCACTTTGTCAAAACCGCTGATATCGATGGTGGAGGTACCATTGGGGTGCCACCACTGGAACACGACATCGGACGGGCCTGCACCCTCACCGCCGTAATTTGGCAAGCCACCGGGGATATAAGTGCTGTTCTTATCGTTGAATCCCCAAGTGCGGAATACCGTAAGACCCGCGTTCTTGGCCGCTGTTAAGCCCTTCTCGATGTCTTGCTGGTTCTGGCGAGCGACAATTTGTTAGCGTTAGAAAGGCAACGAATGTACCTCCGCACTTGGGAATTACGCACTCCATTAAACGGAAAATAGTACGCATTGCTTCCGGCAAAGTGGAAGTCCTTTCCGGACAGCTTGAACTTGTCTCCCTGGACAGTGACAAACTCTTTGTCCTTGGGGTGGCCAGGGCACGCAGGGGCGGCAGCCGCCGAGAGGGCCAGGAGGCCAGTGGCGAGGAGCTTTGATGTAAGGACATACATTGTAAAGACTCAATGGTTCAGAACATAACCTCTTGAAGAAATTCAGTCCAGCCCAACGCCGCCATGATATTGATATTTATGACATTCAGTTTCCATTGCCGGTTTTAGCAACGGAGTGCGTTGCGCCGCCCTCCTGAAAGGGGAACGGTTGGCAAGTCTTGGCAGGGACAGGCGAGCATTCTCTTCCAGCCTTTCTTGCTTCCTCTCCGTTCGTCCTACCTTGGGAATTAACCCAACGTGTGTTAGCTCCCTCTCGGTCGGGTTTATCCGAGATTCTCCGCTCCGTGCCCAGTTCTTGCATGTGCTTCGACCTTGGGAGACGCGGTCCATGCCTGTCCGTGGTCCCATTCCAGACAGCATCACGTCGAGTTCGCGAACGCTCCACGAGAAATAGATCATCATTTTGCAAGGTTCATGGTTTGAAGTATGTACAAACATGCACTCGGGCAACTAAAGATCCCCACCCCGACAAACACACCAAGTCAAGTCCTTTCACTTCTGGATTTGGTGCAAGCAGTGCGATTATCGACCAATAACGCTCGCGGAGCAAGCTGCCCCATCGAGCCCTCCCTCTCCGTCCAGCTGTCCTTCTGCACGTCGACCGAGCCCTTGATTGCATTTACCGCCACGACGACTCGCTTACAGCAGTCGTATCACAGCCGCTCGCCACGGTGTATGATCGGTTAGGATCGCTTTCCCATGTGACCGCTTCGTTGCCGGTCACCTTCACGAACTTGTACTCGAACTTGGTTCCGGCGGCCAGATTGATGGTGGAGGTCCAAACTGGATTGGAGGTGGTATACTCAGCGGCAGATAAAGTCGGCGCAAGGGAGGGATCCCAGTTGCCGAGCTCGGGGATGGAGCCGACAATCTTGACGGTCTGACCCCAACTGGTGGTTACCCGAGTTCTGAAGGCGACCGCCACGGAAGCGGCGGCGGCACAAGACGCGCCGGGTGTTGCCGTCGCCGACCGTGTGCTGGTTGATAGCGTGGTAGCACTGTTGGACCCGCCCCCTATGGCGATATCGGCACAAGAAAGGTAGATTTGGCCGGTCTGGTAGGAATTCCACTTGAAAGATAGGAGCGTATGAGAGGATTGGTAGTTGGGGATGCGAATCTTTTTCGTAACGGGAAATCCTCCGGAAATGCTGGTGTAGCAAGAGCCCTGAGGAGCGTTGTCGACACCCTGGCATCCGCGCCTACTATCCGCCTGGAAAGCATTGCACGTATACCAGTCATTGCGCCAGCATGGTTGACCCGCAGAGCAGTCGGGGTTGTAGCCGCAGTCTTGTCCTGATACGTCAGTGCAGGAGAGCGTACCTGCCTCAAAGCAGTCCTCGGCAGCTTGCTTCTCGGCCTCCGTTGGGAGGTAATCTGGGTCCAAGAACTTGTCTACCAGGCTTTGGTCCTGGCAGATCCGGTAACTGAACATGCCGCCATGGTCACCGTTGTGGTCGACACACCACTGCACATCAACAACCTGGCCAGGGGAGTAGCTTGCGACTGGCGAGTTTCCCCAGTTCGAAGTCGGCTGGTTGTAGTCGATGCTAACGCGGGCATTATAGCCACAGGGGCCGCTCCGTCCAACCGGCGCAGCGGTCAGATCGGGCCACGCCACGACCGGTTCGAGGATGGAGCACTCCGGGCAAGAATCAAGGCCAGCCTGTCCCAACGGAATTAGCATCCACGGCAACTTCCACCTAGGGTATGTAATGGTGCTCCCACCTCTGCGCCGAGTCGAGTCCGACTAAACGGAATGGTTAGATACCCATGGCCATAAACCAGCGTCGCAGTCGAGATTGCCGTCGCTCCGTAAACCAACTTCATCTTCGCGGCAAGTCGTCAAGGCGGACCGCAAGTTCCAAAAAAAAAAAAAAAAAACTGTTGCAGGAGTGGTGCGCGATCTGGTAACAACCTGGGAGTTGGTAAAAGAAATATTGACCAAAGGATCGTAACCTGTTGTTTAAGTATCCCAACTCCATCAACCTTGGTGGCCAGTAAGGCTTGCCTGGGTAAGAACAATCTTCTAGCGCAAGTTCTACATCCATCCTATTCGGCCTTTGCTCGGGCTCTAAAGTAGTTCCACCGAAGTCGGCCCTTCTCGAGGTCCTAGTATTATCGTCGCAGAGAGCCGTCCGTTGTCCCTCCGCCACCCCGGCTCCCCCTCGTGTCCAGCACATGGTGCCTACGCCACCATTCCCGAGACCCAAGATCCGGGGCCCCGCGCGGAGAAAAGACTAGGCGATCCTTGGCGGCGTGAGGGAACCGAGTACTACCGAGGACTGCGGTGGAGTGCCGGCTACGATTTCTACGCTTGGGGCCATGTCCGCCCTAAATATGCACGAGGTCCAGTCACCACTTTGTGGACTGGAGTAAACGGGCCGAATCTTGGGCTTTCGGAGCCGCCGCATCATTGATCTCTGAATGCAACAATACTACATAACTGCGTGTGAAATTTGCTAGGGTGTCGGAGTTGGCAAGACTAATTTTAACCTGATGTGTCGGTCCTTAACAAACTGTTGGTTATTAACTAATACAAGGCTACCTTACATTTTAGGGATTATTTCGAAAAGAAGACATCATTACATTAATTAACGCTAAATATCGATGATGAATATATAGCAGGATTATCCCTGAGCCAATCTTAACACAAGAGTAGCCCCGAACAGGTGATTGGAATGAAGCGGAGGGTAAGAAAGAGTAACTAACGTACCTTACATTGTGTTGGAAGAAGACCAACAGCCACGATTCCACGGTTATCACACGAAATGTTTTGAAGCTTACAACAGTGGGTTGGGATACTCGGAGCATCCCAGAAGTCATCAATTGAAGGTTTTTCTGATCTTCGTCCTCTGTGGCGGGCATCGCCCTGACCTCCTTTTATAGCCTCTTGTTCAACCCCTGGAAACCATCTAACATAAGCGCATCGGCAACCAGGCTTCCGTGTTTCAAGTGCCACAACTTCTGACACTGGTATCCGCAAGAAGGTTCTATATGGCGAATCCACCACATTGCGCCCATGTTAGGCAGCCATACATGTTCTACAACCGAATGTCCGAGTGCCAAGTGCCACAACCTCCAACACATTGCTCGCTCGAAGCCCCTATTCGACCTAATCTTTAGACCACACGACCTCAAGCTTCTAGCTAACCAGTCTTACATTTGCGAGCAGTTGCTTGCCTCCTGAATGGCAGAAACAATGTTGATTCATAAGCTATTCAAGATCATGAGGAAAAGGGAGAGGGCTCGTCGCTGTGGGCGAATTTATTCCAGTTCATGGGTGCGCATCGCGCCGCTGAGCAGGGGCGAAATCAATGTCGATTCGTAATGTAATGATAAAGGAGTTGTAAACTGAGGTATCTTGGTATCCACTCCCATGGCTTAGCAGTTATCTTTCTCCAGCGGAGTTGGAAGTTTTGAATGATCAGTGGGTAGGTACCTATTGTTGGATTCGCCACATGGAACCTTCTTGCGGATACCAGTGTTGGAAGTTGTGGCAAATTGAAACACCGGAGCCTGGTTGCCGATGCACTAGTATTAGAGGGGTTCCAGGGTCTGAACAAGAAGTATATAAAGGAGGTAAGGGCGATGCCCGCCACTGAGAGGAACAATCAATCAATTCTTTCTCCCCATCCTTCGATCTGAGTGTCGTTTCCAACACCTATCGGGGACCTATCGGAACGGTGCACTTTACACCCAACTACCACCACCTCCAATGGTACCTAGCTTGTCTGCTTGCTAATACCAATGGAGGACGTCGTTACATCTCCCTTCTTACTTTAGTATCCTCGCTGAGTTGTGTAAGTCTCCACTGGTAGGTCCTGTTGTTTGTTTCCCGTAAAACAGGGGGTGCAAGCCGGTGATGGCGGGCCAAAACCAGCAGAGCGACACAATATGTGTTTTATATTTTAATTGCAGGGTAGACCGAGATTTAGAACACAGTTTTACCATGGTTTGTAACTAGTATTTAGCTAGGAACGATGCTCACGAGGTAAGCCTATAATATTGCTACGAGTCCCTGTGACTATTTGAACGTGTATCGCACTTCTCTCCGCACCTCGGTCGCTAACCTCAGCGTTTCCGCTCTGCTCTTGCGCGAGAAGACGTTGAACCACGCAAGGAAGGAGTTGTAGCCGTCCCGTTGGGGATGCGGGATCTTTTGACCACGATGGACGAGGCATCCACTCCGGCTGACGTGGCGGGCAAGATCCGGCCGCCGGGAAAACAGCTCTTCCACTATGTCGTCCGAGTCAAAGATGCCTTCGCAAACCTCCGCGTTGTACTCAGTTGGAATAAAAACCATCGCGCTAGTGTATTGTGGTCCCGAGGCAAACGGTTGTGACAAGGCTCGGAGCCTTTCATCGTCTCGGAGTGCGGTTAACAAGGTAGTGGCCCAATAATCGACGCCCCAAGTCGACTCGATGATCAGGCTCCCCTTCATCCCCGGCGGCCGCGGGTTGATCTCAATAAGCCAGGCTTTCGTCGGTTGCTGTAGCGTTTCAGCTTTTGGTCTCAGATCCACAACCCCGTCACCCTGCCCGAAAGCATACCCGACCGTCGAGTCCTGGACCCGGCCCTCGAGGTGGAACATGCCCGTGTCGAAGCCTAAGCGCAGCAGGCTGGCGTGGAAAGAGTCACGGAGAATTTCGATCTCGCGCCGTGGAAGAGCTGATGGGAAGACACTGCACATTTCAATGAAGGTGCTGAGAGAGGATCCGCCCTGGGCTCCGCTGACATTTCCAGCGGTATCCCCTTCCCCATCCTCGGCCGTCTTCGGCATATCATCGCACACCTCAAAGAAGAGGAGCTCACCATTCAACAGTACCAAGTTAACGTCAACCTCGGGGCCAGCACAGTATGGCTCCATGACAAAAGCATTTCCGTGCCGCGTCGTGTCAATGGATTCAACAGCCGCGCGGATCTCGGATTTATGATGGACCAAGCTCACTCCCTCCGAGCTCCAGCCGTTGCACGGCTTTATGATTAAGGGGTACGGAAGGTCAACCTTTGTTGCGATGGTGACCGCCTCGTCAGAGTCGGAGGCGAGATGGGCTTGGTGGCCTTCAAAAATGCTGGTCCGGTACTTGTCCGTTGCCGTGAGGTAGGGGATCGGGGATTGGGTCGGCAGGCCCAGCTGCTCACAAGCGCGCGCTACGGGGCCCATGTACGACTCGCAGAGGGTCATCAAGCCGTCGATCCGAATGCGGCACGATCTCACCGTCTCCACGATTCGCTCCGTGAAATCATCCCGCGGCGGATCATGCAGGGCCAGGGGGACAAAAGCCATGCGCCACTCGGAAAACTCAATGTCTTCCATCCAGTGGCCAGAATTGTCCATGGCGATGATGTCGATGCCGAGAGCTTTGGCCGCCCCGTAGACCGAAGGGCCCGTTCCCCCATAGCGCGGGTGGACGCGGCCGGCTTCGATAATGGCCAGTGTTCTCCTGGGGTGCAAGGTACTGGTAAGCCATGGGAACGAAAGCCGGTCATCCAGCTGAGCTTCGAGGGCCGCGGATGCTTGGTGCAGGTTGATCTTGGCGCCTTTGTCATCCCGGTCTCTGAGCAAGACGCCCGCGGCTGACCTGCGGAGGAGATGGCTCAGCCAGCCGCAGCAGTCGTTTGCCCCTTCGATGGCTACCTTGCCCCCTGCAAAATGCTGCCGGGGCGTCGCGAATGTCGAGACAAGCTCAACAAACTCGCTATCCTTCAACCGGAGTTGCACAATGTTCGACCGGGCGATGTAACCCGGAGTAGTCGGGATGATGAGCTTCGCCAAGTGCGCCCGTCTCGATGACTGAGCATGTTTCAGGAGCTGGCGCAAAAAGTCGAGCGCTTCTACTGAGCCAAGAGAATGGCTGGTCGCAGTGAGCGTCTCGCCGTAAGGGGTTGTGATGACGACTTGGTTTTCATCGTCTCCCTCCGCCACCGGTCCGACGGCGATTCGACCACCATGTGGGTCACCGCCGTTGGCCTGATGCTTGATGGGTTGGAGGGATAAGTCCAAGGACACGAAGGGCCTGCTTCGGTCCTGCGGGTCATTGCATGTGGCGTTCAGCTTGGCCGTCCAGCTGGCTTCGAAGACGACTGCTTGGCGAGTTAGCACGAAACGGCCCCTCCCCGACTGCACAATAACGTCGCATTACCTTCTCCCGTCTTCCCTTCGACCAATAAAAGCTTGCTATTCGCTGTCGTGGACATTGTCACTCTCCTAGGGTGCTTCTCGGGGGCTTATCGGTTCGCTTGTTGAAAGTGAAACGGTGAGCCGGACCTGCATGTACAGTTGATGCTTGCGTGATTTGCCTTTGCGATGAGGTTTCGGAACCTTTTTCAACTATGCAGGGTGTGCACCACCATGTCCGAGTGCTGCCCCAACAGCGGCGGACACGAGCTTGCTGGCCAATCACCGATGGACTCGCCGAAGGATGAATGCATGGTCACACCTGACATCAAGATCTCCCTGTTACTCAGTTCCAACGTAAGCCAAGCGACACCACCAAATGTTTAGACAGGTGAATCGAGTGTGCAGTCAGAATGTCACATATCCAAGGCACACCAGCATACACATACCTACCCAATGCAAAGGCGGGCTGCTCCGTCACTTTTTTTTTTACTTTGATCCATGCCTACTTAAGTGTTGGGTGAGCTCCTTTGTAGGATTTTAGAACTAGCTCTCATGAGGTAATGATATTGTAAAATCCTACTTCTAACCGCTGGTATTCTTCGTTTGTACATTCATTCCCGTCTGCTCCTAATCCCGCACTAGAATACGACTGGCTGTTTGGTTTTAAAGTTGCTGCGCTACTATGCCAATGTACGAGTTCTTGCTCTCGACTACCTACGGATTTCTAAAGTTGGTGCTGATTCTGTTCGCAACACCCAGGTTAACTCGGGCATCCGACAAGTACTCGGCGTTCAAAGGCCCCTCGCTGCCCGACAGAACCTGGCCGTCCAACAAGATCACCAAGCCTCCGAGGTGGTTGTCGACAGACCTCCGCGATGGCAACCAGGCTCTAGCGAGTCCGATGGTAAGTGGCAGCAACATAATGAGGCGTTGCAGGGCACGGCACGTTCTGATATAATATCGGCCTAGTAGAACCCTGAGCAAAAGTGGACCTACTTCCAGATGCTAGTAGACATCGGCTTCAAAGAGATCGAGGTGGGTTTCCCGGCATCGTCGGAGATGGATTTCCAGTTCGCGCAGAGATGTGTACTCGACGGGCCCCCTGATGTGTGGCTTGAAGTCATGACGCCTTGTCGCAAGGACTTCATCCGCCGGACCGTCGATGCCGTCAAGGGAGCAAAGAAGATCATCGTCAGCCTCTACATCGCAACCAGCGATAATTTTATCGACACCATATTTAGCACGACCCGCGAAGCCCAACTCCGCACCGCTGTTGAACATGCGAGGTACCTCAAGACCGTCACCAAAGACGACCCGGCGCACAAAGACACGACATGGGCACTGATGTGGAGTCCCGAGGCCTTCTCCGATACAGACCCGGATTTCGCTATCGAGATTTGCCGCGCGGTGAAAGAGGCGTGGGAACCGTCCGCCGAGGTTCCCATAATCCTGAATCTGCCGGCGACGGTTGAGATGTCAAGTCCGAACATATTCGCCGACCAAGTCGAGATCTTCTCTCGCGGTTTCTCCGGTGACCCCACGGTCTGTGTTTCGCTGCACAACCATAATGATCGAGGCTGCGCTGTTGCTGCTGCCGAGTTAGGTCAGCTCGCGGGGGCGACCCGAGTCGAGGGCTGCCTCTTTGGAAATGGCGAGCGCACGGGCAACGTCGATCTGGTGACGCTAGCGTTGAATCTATACACCCAGGGGATTGACCCAGGCCTGGACTTCTCCGATCTGCCGCGGATCCGCCGGATTGTTGAGCAACTAACACAAATCCCCGTCCACACGCGAGCCCCGTATGCGGGAGACTCAGTTTTTGTTGCATACAGCGGCGGGCACCAAGACGCCATCAACAAGGGCTTCAAGAGGTGGAATGCAACCGCTAATGATGACAAACATGGTCGGCCCCGCCCTTGGAAGGTCCCGTATCTTGCTATGGACCCCCACGACATCGGGGCGTCGTACGAGGCTGTCATCAGGGTTAATTCGCAGAGCGGCAAAGGTGGCATCGCTTGGGTCCTCTCGCAAGCTCTGCAGCTCGAAGCGCCCAAGGCCATCCTGGGCGCATTCTCACTGGCTGTCAAATCCGAGTCCGAGCTCAAGGGGCGCACATTACTACCTAACGAGGTTACCAACCTCTTCCTTCGCCAGTATAACGTCCAGAGCCAGGACCAGCGAGTACTTTCCCTGGTCAAAACAGCCTTGAACTCCTCGGATTCTGGATCCTTGGTTAGAGTGGAGACGGTGATTCTCGTCAATGGCCTGGCCCGCCAGCTAGTCGGGCACGGCGCTTCAACGCTCGATGCCGTCCGATTCGGCCTGTCAGCCTTTGCCGACTGCCGTCTGGAGTTTACATGCGCGTTCGGGACGCCGAGCGCTGGCATTGTGAACAGTAATCTTCCCGAATCAAGCGTCATCGCAATTGTCATGTGCTCAGGCGGCGGCCGGACCACCTGGGGAGTCAAAGCAGCGGGGACGGAAGAGCAGGCGACACTGCTTGCATCGCTCTCAGCAGCCTTGGTATGTGTCCCGCATGTGCCAAGTCATCTCATCGATCGCTGACACGAAGTCATCTTGCAGGATTGGCACGGGGAGCTTCCGTTGCACCACCAGAGGCTCCGGTTGCTACCAATCGCGCAGTTCCCCGTCGTTCGGGCGGCAGCTTAGAAAGAGGGCTGCATGTGTCAGGTTACATCGTACGGATGTGCTTTCTCAACGACCAGGCCAGTTAAGGTTAGGCCAAGACACGGACCACAGTTGGGATATGTATGTAGGCTGAGAGTGAATGCATCCGTGGGAGCCGCGGAATATGTTCGCCGTGCGTCGGATGCCGTCATCCGGCTCCGGGTTGTGCCACGCCACCGCATTGGCGCAGTACCACCTCGAGAAGCATATGGGAATGGCAGGTCGTGGTATCGTACTGCGCCTTCGGCATGGAGGATGCCAACCCTAGTCTTCCGGCACCGGAAGGATCCATAGCTTTTGGCAAAACCCGATGCGGTGCATTTGTGGCGATTTACTTAGAAAACACCAAACACGGTGCCTGCGCAGCCTCCCAGCTCCAACCCCAGCGGCGGCCCTCTGGCCAACAAAACCGAGACACCGAAACCGACTTTGCGTGGATCCGCCTGCAAATCATCTTCGCGGACGTAGGGTTCCTGAACAAGCTATGTACCGACTGTTAAACAACCCCAATGAGTGTGAACGAGTGATATTGTGGAAATGGCCAAAGATCGTATAATGTACCTACTGTGCTCGGTGAGTCGGTTTCATCCAACTCGGGCTCGATTTGACAGAAGATGCTGCACCCACGCTCTACCGAGTACCTGTCGCTTTGGTGTACTGGTACTATTTGCCTAGGGGAGCCAAGTAAGATCATTGGTAGGATATCTACAGGAGTCCACCGCTCATCTCCAAGGATGGACAGATCTATGAGAGGTTTGTACCTTGCTCGCCCCCAAAGTGGGGCCGGAAAAGTCAGTATTATTCCCTTAAGAATGTCATGTACGAATCCAGCCCCCAGTCCATGGTTCAGTCAGCGCCGAGGCGGTAAGGGTGTGATCCAAGGGGGTCGGAGCACTTCGCCCATGCAGTCAATGCACCACCCCCCTTTTCTCGGCGCACCTCGAACGTTGTCCCAACAGCCGAAACAAGGGAAGGACAACGGGGAGGCCCGGGGGACCGGGGTTTATGATGACCGCAGGATGTACCCGCCTCGGGACAGCGCGCACTATGGAGATCCTTAATTAATGCAGGACGGTGGACTCTGGCGATGGGGATCCGTCAGCATGAGGTCTCAATGGTCGGCAATCATTCCTAATTTGGTCCTTCAATTGCCAGAGACGCCTTCAACAATTCTCATCTCATAACCATTGCGGTTGCAACAGGAACCAATACCTTGATGACTTGTCCCATACGCGGGTCCCATCCATCTGATTTGGCGTCATCTGGGCGAATACCCTCTGACTTGGCTCCGCCTCATCCCAACCCAATCGTGGCCTTCCTTCTTTTGGCCACCCTCTGAGCAGGCGGTGACTGCTCACCCATCCTGCCACTCAACTTGATACGACCAAGCATTTAGTTTGCATCGTATCCCAACCAACTGGGATCGAGCCAGCCTAACCGATCAACAGTCCGTGACAGGCCCCGTCTATTGTCTCGCCTTTTTCACAGCATTGACTAATCACGTCGAACGCGATAACACAGGCGCTGGATTAGATGACGGGGCTTACTGAGGTTAAACTGCGTCGTCAGAGACCAAAAAAAACCGGGCTTCGGAACCCCCCACAACCCCGTTCCTTTTCCACCCTTGGTTCGTTCTGAGCTTTGCCGAAAGCGGAGAGCGTTCGGGAGCCAAGCCGGCATTAGCCTCTCATATCGTCCAGGGTTCGGGGCTTCTTTCCCATCCAGCCTCCACCCACACAGCCCTACTCTGTATGCAAAAATCCGGAGGAGCAGGCCGAGCTCCGGGCAGTACCTTGTCCATATTTACATAGTACATCCATACGAGTCGCTTGCTCCGCGGGATGCATCAGACACCACATGCGTGATTTGCTCAGCGCCGCCCCCCTGCATATCATTCGCGAGAGCTGGCTCGTGGTGAGAGCAGCGCACCGGCCGGTGAGGAATTACCTTCCTCTTTTGGTACCGTGGTATGCACATCGGGGTGAAATGTCTGTTGCTCGTCACTTGAAAACTTAAAACAGGAAGAAAAATCCATCAAAATGCCAGGTTGGACAGACCTGAAGCTTGACATTGTTGCAACCCTTCCCTGTGTAACACCCAGCATGCATTCCAACGCCAACCTTAGTAGCTATGGCAATTATGCAAGGCTTTCGGATCTGTCCGCCGTTGGGGGCGTCACAGGAGAGGCAACCCGGATACTACTACAGGACGTGGAGAAACGGGAACGGAAGCGAGAGCAGAATCGGATAGCACAGAGGAACTACCGTGAGCAAAGCAACGTCTTACTTTACACCTGATCCTCTAACGAATCGGCTGCTTACAGAAGATTGCTCACACTAGCAACCTCCAGGTCGAAATCAAAAACAACGTATCCAAGCTCTAGAAGCCGCACTCGGCCAGCTGGAACCCGCCGATACTATCCTAGCATCGCCACCAACCTCGAATGCGGCTGAAACAACTTTCGACCTCGCCCCGGTCAGCCCTCCCTCCTCGGCCCCCCAGAACCCTTCGCCATGCGATGACCAATCACTGTGGGCATTTGATCCTTCCTGGAAAAGGACGCACCAGCAAACCAGCCCCGAGATTCTCGGTGAACAAGGCCGGACGGCGCTTCATCTCGCAGTGAACTCTGGGAATGAGTCTATAACCCGATTGCTTCTCGAGCGCGGGGCAGACATCGCGAAACAAGACCATAACGGGTCGACGGCCTTGCATCTTGCTTGCGAACGCGGTTCTGAGGTCCTTACGAGGCTACTATTAGAGAAGTTGGCCGACCCTAATGAAAGGGATTTCCTGGGGCGCACCGCACTCTTCAAAGCAGTAGCAGGAAAGAACGAGGCGGTAGTCAAAGTACTGCTAGAGGCTTCCGCAGATGTGAATACCAAGGACTCGTTGGGTACCATGGCCCTTCATCTGGCAGTAGAAAGCGGGTCCGAGCCCCTGGTGCTTCTCCTACTACAACACGGGGCGGATATTAATGCATGACCATACATCAGGGGCCGGGGGGATCCTTTATTGCGTTGAGTTTGCATCAGATCGGAGTTCATGTAATCATGAGTAGAGGTGGGAGCTTATTTGACAACCTCTAGACTAGCGCTGGTTCTCTATACCTGAGCTAAAACTAGGTTTGATTCTCGTTACCGGCAAGAATACCCTCTCACCCGACCTCTCCGGACCTATGGTGATATTGATAGTTTATGTGTCCCATGTATCAGGTGCCGTCATTACAGGTTCTGCATCTTGACCAAGTCCCAATATGCTCCCCGCATGGCCATCAGCTCCTCGTGGTTCCCAGTCTCCACAATCCTTCCCGCATCTAGGACGTATATGATGTCGGCTGCCCGGATGGAGCTCAGACGGTGAGCCACGGAGACAGTGGTTCGGCCTTGAGCCGCCCTATCAAGGGCGTCCTGAACCAGTCTCTCCGATTCCGGATCCAACGCCGACGTGGCCTCGTCCAGCAAAAGTATCTGGGGTTGGCGTATAAGTGCCCTGGCGATGGCGATACGTTGCCGTTGTCCCCCGCTCACCAGCGTCCCCCGGGGACCAAGGACAGTGGATAAACCATCACTGAAAATGACAACGTTAGCTTCAAGGATTTGGCAACGGCAAACCTGAGTAAAACGAATGAGACTCACGGCATAGAGCAGATGAAGTCGTGGATATTGGCCTGTTTGCAGGCATCCATGATATCTTCATCCGCGGTTTCCTCCTCATTGTCACCAATGTGTCCATGTCGGCGGCCTAAAGCAATATTTTCTCGAATTGTCCCCGAGTATAACGCGGCACCTTGGCTAACCAGGGACGCGTTTTGGCGATGTTGCTGCACATTGAGCCCGTGAAGGGCCGCTCCGTCGACCCGAACAACGCCCTTGTCCGGATCGTAGAATCGCTCAAGAAGTGCCAGTATGGTGCTCTTCCCACAGCCGCTAGGGCCTACTAGGGCCAGGTACTGGCCCTTGTTGATATTAAGATTGAAGTTTTGTAGGACCTGGTGATCGGGTCTAGACGGGTATCGAAAATCGACATCGTTGAGCTCCACTTGGATGCCATTACTACAATGCTTCTCTTCACTGGAGTGGTCATCCCCCGGCCCCGTTGCTATCATCTTCGACTTGCTTGCAAACAAGGTTTGGAGCTCGTGACTGGCATGCATCGCCTTGCTGGCGTCAGGGGCATAGGAGAAAATAGATCCTGCCGTCTGCGCACCCGAGATAAGCGCGACAAAACAGATGTAGAACTGGAACACGGTATATTCCCCGGTAGCCACCAGTTGCCCACCATACCAGAAAGCCAACGCGGCGCAGAGGAAGACGACGGACTGTGAAGCGGCGTACAGGGCGGATGCCGAGAGCATAGACCGAAGCGAAGTTGCCGCCCGTTGGGAAAGAATTTCGTCGTATCGGGTGAGAGCAAACTCCTCAATGCCGAGAGAAGCAACAGTCCTGACCAGACGGACCGTTTCACTCGCGTATGACGCAGCTTCTTTCCCTGTCTCTTTCACCTGGCCGTCAAACACCGCCAGCATACGGAGACGAATCCATCCGCACGCTACTACTATGGGGATCGTGGCGGTGCAAACCAATGCTAGTTTCCATCCGATGACGAGAGAGATCACAATGCCGGTTAGAATGGTTGAGAAAAAGGTCAAGATGCTCCCGATCACCGGGCCGCTCAAGCTCGATAACTGCTCCGTGCTCCCCGTGACAACTTCGAGCAAAGCTCCAGTGGAATGCTCCTTGCGGTCGAAAAACTCGATGTCTTGAGATAAGATGGACTCGAGCGCCCACTTCTTTGCCCGCCGTGATAGCGCCTCGGTTGAGCGCGCGAAAGCAAGGCCAAGAACCCGACCAAAATATGAAGGCGACACCTGCCATCAGCACGTACAAGCCAGACCAAAAATTTACGCTCTGGCGTAGTGCTACCGGATCGAGGGACAAGCTGTCGAGAAGTTTCGCGAAGAAGATGGATTGTCTGAGAGATCGGTTAGCCTCCCAACCCCTCCTGTCCTCCTTCTCGTGACCCTACTCACATTGGAATCCCGAATCCCGCAACGATAGCACTAGCGGTGCCGAGAGCCAGCAGCCCTTTTTCTTGGGCATTGACGTAGTAAATGAACCTAAGTGTGCTTACCAGCCCTAGCGTATGCTGACGCTCCCGCGTTTCCGGATTCCTGTTATCCCCGGGCGGGGGCGTGTCGTCCTCGGCACCCTCGCCATCTTGCAAGACCGGTTTCTCATGAAGCGATATGCCTAGTTTGCTGCTCACGTTTTCCGATGGCTCCTGTAGCCTTTGCCCAGGGACATCCATGAAGTGTTGATTTTGCACCAGGCCGGCGTATAGCCCATCTAGGTCCATTAGCTCCGTATGCGTTCCCTGCTCCATCACACGCCCCCCTTCCATGACAATGATCTGATCCGCGTTGCGGATAGTAGAGAGCCTGTGGGCAATGATAATTGTTGTCCGGTTCTTGGCCGCCGGCTCCAACGCTTGTTGAACGACAGCCTCTGACTTGGAGTCGAGAGCTGATGTGGCTTCGTCCAGAAGTAGTATGGATGGTTGCTTGATGAGCGCCCTTGCCAGGGCGATTCGCTGCCGTTGCCCCCCGGATAGCTGCGTCCCTGCCTGGCCGACCATTGTATCGTACCCGTTGGCAAGTTCCGAGATGAAGTGGTGGGCGTTAGCGTCGGTTGCCGCTTGCACAACGGCATTGCGCAAATCTTCTTGGGTGCCTTGGAAAGGAGAGTTTAGCAGGCCATATCGGATATTATCAAAAATGGTGGTATCGAATAGCGCCACTTCCTGTTCAACGATGGAAACGTGGCTGCGCAAGTTTCGTAAGTTCAGGGACTGCAGGTCATGCCCATCAAGTTCTCAGAAGCGATGGTGTTAGCAGAGTGTACCTCTCCGCCTCCTGGCCGGAGCATGGTTGTCACTCACCAATGACACCCTCGGTGGGCTCATAATACCGCTCTAACAAGCTGACAATGCTGCTTTTCCCGCTCCCAGACGGTCCAACGATAGCTGTTGTCTTGCCAGCGGGACACCGGATGTTCACCCGATTTAGCACAACAACCTCTTCTCTTGATGGATAGACGAGGCTGACGTCACGGAAGGCAATCTCGCCGGCCACGTTCTGGAGGTGCTTGCCCTCCGATGAGAACGGGTCTTGAGGAGATCTCCGTGCTATCGTGCCGAATATCTTGCTAGAACCGGCAACGGTGGCGGTCAAGGCTTGGAAGGATGGCGCTACTCGGATGATGGCAAATGCGCTTATAATGATGGCCAGAGTGGTTGTTGCGATTGCCGAAACAGAGGTTTGGCCCTTGACGAGAAATATAGAGCCAACCCAGAAGGATAGGGCGTAAACAAGACAAGGCATGGTATTTGACCATGCGATCATGTACGTGACGCTGTCCCGTGATTTGACATCAGAACGCCCCGAGGCCTCCAAAAAAGAGTGGTATTTGGCTACCAAGAAGCTCTGGATGCCAAAGGCGGCCACTTCGCGGACCGAACCGATGCTCTCTTCTGCCAGAGTTGCCGCCTGGCCCCGGGCACCCATGGCATGTTTGTGGTGCTTGACCGCGTAGGACCCGCCTACCATCACCACACCCAACATCACCAAGAAGGTCGGACTCAAAACGAGGGCGGTTCGCCAGGAAACGACGTACATGATGACGAAGGCGGAAGCGAAGTTGGCCATCGCCGTCATAGCGATTGATATCTTGCTCGTGATGGCTTCTTGTATCGTGCCCATGTCGGACATGATGCTCACAGTGATTTCTCCATTGCCGCGGTTATCGAAGAAGGCCATGTTCTGGCTAATGACGGCCCTGAGGTAGGCGCGGCGAAGGGCTCGCGCAACTCGCTCGCCGACATAGTAGAAACCAACTGTCGCGATGTAAATGAAGACAAAAATGCCGACGGCACAATACACATAGTACAAGGCAAACTGAGCGATGGTGCTTCGCAGGTCAGAGCTTTTCGTTGTGCCGGCCGCGAAGCCGTTGAATGCGTTGATGAGCTGGCCGTATACCACCTGTACGTACGTCCAGTGTCAGCTGCGGCCGCTCGTCTACGGCCCAGTGGGAAAAGATTCGGTACCGTTAAGAGAGGGTTCAGAGCGCCTGCGATCACAGCTAAAATGGCGCTCAGAACCAAAATCACTCTATCCTTCGCGGTGGCGTAGTGAAGCAAACTTCCGTGGCTTCGGGTGCTGTCATCGTGTAAGCCATCGCGCTGTCTTCGCACGACCTCGGCCGCGCTTGCGCTGGTTTTCTCCATCACGGTGAAGCAAACAACGGAGGGGGGACGTGAAGAGGGCAGGCGTGGAATTGCGTTTGGCTGAATGGTGTGCTCGTGAACCGGACCGGCTTTCCACGTCCAACAATCATTCCCGTACCGAGGGGCAGGGGTTATGCAGGGGTTGTGTGAGATTCGATGCTACCACCTGCAGTGTCGCACCCGGCAACGCAACTGAGTCAGATCCTGACATAAGATAATGCTCGAGTTTCTGGAAGAGTGCAGAGGATGCAGTGTCGTGCTGCCACGATTATGTTATTGACGGTAATACCATCCAAGCCGATTTGGCAACTGGTAGGGAACCGGAAAGCATTGAAGCGTACCTACCTAACATTATATTACCGGCTCATCCTAGTGTACATTCACCATCAAATTTTCGTCGATGCGTAGCGTATTCTTCGAGTCGGAGTGCGGGCCACAAGCATTCTGTCGTACATACAATGTCCGTGCCAAAGCCGAGAACTCTTTACCAGAAGCTGTTTGACGAACATGTCGCCGTGTGGAAGGACAATGGAACCGCACTCCTCTACATCGGTGCGGAACAACCACTCGCCTGGTGACACAAATTGCGTACGTGGTCATAATACTAATTGAGGTTGCAGACCGCCATCTCATTCATGAAGTTTCCTCTCCGGTATGAAGATCCTCCATTCCAGAGCTATCCCTTGGCCAAAGGCTGGGCTGATGGTATCAATAGCAAGCATTTGCCGGGCTGAAGGCTCAAGGCCGCCCTGTGAGGCGTCCAGATTTGACTTTGGCAACCTGTGATCATGTGGGTTCAGACGGAGCTGTGGCAGAATGACATGGTGGCTTATTCTGTTTGCAGAATGTCCCAACAACACCTCGTCCAAGGGTGATGAAAGTGGCCCAGGCAAAACTCCAGGTTGAGACACTCGCCCGCAATGTTAAGGTGCACCAAATTCCGTACCTGGGCCTAAACTCAACATCGCAGGGAATTGTCCACGTAATCGGCCCTGAGCTCGGCTTCACCCTGCCGGGCACAACTGTGGTGTGCGGGGATAGTCACACGTCAACCCATGGTGCTTTTGGTTGTTTGGCATTTGGAATTGGAACAAGTGAAGTCGAGCATGTACTCGCGACGCAAACCGTTTCAACAACAAAATGGAAAAGCATTCTAGTGTGGGTGCAGGGGACGTTAGCTGAGGGCGTCGGGTCAAAGGATCTGATGCTCTACATTATAGGAGAAATAGGTGAGCCCATCCATAACGTGGTCGGTGGCACTTCGTCTCATATCAAACGTTCGGATAGGAACCGCCGCAGGAACTGGAGCAGCAATCGAATTCGCCGGGCCCACGATCAAGGCTTTGACAATGGAGGCCCGCATGTCTCTTTGCAACATGGTATGCTTCTCACCTCCGTAAATACCAGCGTTCAAGTATACAAGGCAAAACCCTAACTTTCGCACCCCCGACAGGCCATTGAGGCTGGCGCTCGTGCGGGTTTGGTGGCCCCAGATGAGATTACATTTGAATACCTCGAGGGACGGCCATTGGTCCCAAGCGGTGACAGCTGGGAAGCCGCGGTTGCATACTGGAAAACACTGAAATCCGACGCCGACGCCACATTCGACCGCCAGTTCAAGATTGACGCTGCAAAGGTGGCCCCGGTTGTCTCCTGGGGTACATCTCCCGAACAGGTCGCGCCCATAACGAGCCGTGTTCCGAGTCCGGACGATTTCCAAGACCAGATTAAGGCGGATAACTGTCGACGCGCACTTGAGTACATGGGCTTGGAGCCAGAGACTAGAATGACAGACATCGTCGTGGATAAGATCTTTATCGGTTCCTGTACAAACTCACGACTTTCGGACCTGCGCGCCGCGGCAGACATTCTCCGAGGCCGGAAAATCGCGGCCAATATCAAAGCCGCATACGTTGTCCCCGGCTCTGGGATTGTCAAACAGCAAGCGGAGAGTGAGGGCCTAGACCGCATCTTTAAGGAGGCAGGTTTTGAGTGGCGAGAGGCTGGCTGCAGTATGTGTGTTGGACTGAACGAAGATCAACTTGAGGCGTATGAGCGCTCGGCAAGCACTAGCAACCGAAACTTTGAGAACCGACAGGGCACGGCAGGCCGCACACACCTCATGTCCCCAGTGATGGCCGCCGTCGCCGCCATTGAGGGCAAGCTTGGCGATGTCCGCAAGTACTTGGCCGCCGGCGCGGGATTGGGGGATGAGGAACCGTCGATTCTACCTCGCTATCCTGAGACTATCGAACCGGAAGAATCGAGCAGTAGCCACGCCGAAAAAGAGGACGACGGGGTTGTTGAGGATGATACCATCGCGGCTGGTCCATTTACGTCGGTGAAAGGGCTTGTGGCTCCCCTAGACCGAGCCAACGTCGACACGGACTGCATCTTGCCAAAACAATTCTGTACCACCATCCTCCGCCGCGGACTGCGCGACGGGTTGTTCTACAACCTCCGCTGCCGTCCGGATGGCTCGTTGGACCAGTCGTTCGTACTCAACCGACAACCCTACAATAGCAACCGGTCGCGGGTCCTGCTCAGCACAGGACCCAACTTTGGTTGCGGCAGCTCACGCGAGCATGCAGTATGGGCACTGCTGGACTTTGGCATTCAGGTCGTCCTGGCCTCGTCATTTGGTGACATCTTTTACGGCAATTCCTTCAAAAATGGGCTACTTCCAGCCATCGTGGACCAGCAAGACATACCTATGCTGCTTGCGGAAGCAGAGGCAGGCCGGGAAATTGAGGTGGTCTTGTCAACCCAGCAAATCCTCAGCGCGTCAGGGGACGAAATTGCCAAGTTCAGTGTTGACAAGGGCCCGAAAGAGATGTTGCTCGCGGGCGTCGACGAGATTGGCTTGAGCCTAAGAAGTTCCGATGACATCAGCGTGTATGAAAAGGAGAGGGATGAAGCATTGCCATGGCTGGCATCTTCGGTGAATATTGGCTGGAGCCGCCTCAAACTGCGTAGCGGGCGGATCGCACCACCCAGCATTCGAAGGGACGGGACCCAAGGAACGCTTGCTTGGTGATCATTATCTCCACGGCACACGATGAGTCGGCGTTTGCCGGCACGGGCCGAGCGGTAGCTCGGGGCTTACCCAGTTGGTGGTAGTGACAATGCAACAGTCCCCTGCTGATCCGATCTCTCTTCGGCCGATGTACATCGGTACGTATGTACGAATAACTAGTGTACCCATGTACAGGTGACACAGAAGGTGGCAAATATTACCTAGTTAGGATGTCTGTCCATAATAAACCACTGTCTCCCAAAGCTGACAAACAAAAGTAAAATTAAGGGTTTGAAATAGTCCGTCGGGAACAGATTACTTCGTCCGCTGTCCAAGGAGCCGCGGAGGCCTGACTAGTCTCGGATGACGACACGACAGTCATGAAGAAGCGGTCAGCCCCTGGTTATGAGCATAAAAAATGATTGGGTCGGGGGTCTCGGTCATCCCGGATCCGCGGGCGTTCTGGGTCGTGTGAGTATGGTGGAGAGGGCCAGTCCTGCGCCGTTTCAGCTCCTGCCAGGCCACAGGTGTCTTGGAAGAATAATTCGCTGGGAATGATGTGCCCTGCTTATTGTTGCAAAGCTGCCGTTACATTCCTTGGCGGACATGTTGCCCAGCTGCAGGCTGCAGCGCCGCGAACGCGCCCATTTTTCGTCAAGAGCATCCAGCGTGGGGGACTGAGCCCCTGAGTGGGAGATGGCCAGCTCCCCCGTCGCCGCTGCATAATTAATTGCTGCCGGTCCTCTTCTGGAACGAACCAACGACCCCCTGCCTCCATCGGTGCCTTCTTGTTCACCATGTCGGAAAAGTCAAATCACGACCAGCAAGGAGCAGGCCTGACCTCACTGGTTGAGAGCGCACAGGCATCCCATGAGTCGATCAACGCGAAACCGCCACCGCCAGCAGACCGGGGAAAGGATGCTTACCTCTTTCTCGCTTCATGTTGCGTGTTAGAGGCAGTAGTTTGGGGTGCGTCCCAGTTGTTGATGCTCTAGTCTGTTCAATGGTCTAACGAGCACCGTACAGGACTTCCGTTTACTTATGGCGTTTTCAACGACTACTACAGCACCCATGGGCCATTTGATGGCTCTGGCAACCTCGCCATTGTCGGGACATGCTCCTTGGGCATGCTATATCTCGACCTCCCTCTGGTGTTCGCCCTTGTGCAGGCCTACAAGCAACATATTCGCAGCTTCTGCGCCCTCGGAATCATTATCATGGGGCTCGCGCTAGCCATCAGTTCGTTCGCAACCACAGTTACGCATCTTATCCTCACCCAGGGCATTCTCTACGGACTCGGTGGCAGCCTGTCCTATTCCACGTGTCTCATCCTGCTGTCGGACTGGTATGACAAGCGCAAAGGCATTGCCTTCGGCATCATGCTCGGCGGAACCGGTCTTGGGGGCACCATTCTCCCAATCGTGACAGAGAGACTGCTTCAGTCATTCGATTTCCGGACAACCCTGAGGGCGCTGGCGGTGGCCGTCGTAGTGCTGTCTGGCGCCTTCGTCTATTACATGAAGCCACGCGTCGAGCCGGACCGCCGAAGATCGCTACGCAGCCAGGTTGGAATGCGTTTCATGAAGACAGGTGCGTTTGCTGCTTTGCAGCTGGCCAACACAGTACAAGGCTTGGGCTTCTTCCTACCGACCCTATACCTGCCAATGTATGCCAGATCGATCGGAGCGTCGCAGAGCGTGGGTGCACTCACAGTGGTGGTGTACAACATTGCATCCGTCATCGGTTGCATCTTGATGGGTTTCATCATTGACCGTTGGCATGTGACGACATGCTGTCTGGCATGCGCGGTCGGTTCCAGCTTCAGCATCTTCCTGCTCTGGGGTTTCTCTGGCTCAGTTGCGCCTCTGTTCGTCTTTGCCGTTATCTACGGCATCTTTGCGGGTGCCTGGGTGGCTACCTGGTCCGGCATGGTCAAGGCTGTGCAACGGTCCGAGACTACAGCAGACGCCAGCACCGTGTTGGCCTGGATTTCGACCGGTCGCGGCATCGGCAACGTTGTCTCGGGCCCTCTAAGTGAGGCCTTGTTGCGCGTGGACCATTGGAAAGGGACTTTGGCGTATGGGTATGGCAGTGGATACGGTATCCTCATCGTGTTTACGGGCATTACGGCTGCATTGAGCGGGAGTTGTGTGCTGGGACGCAAACTGGGGTATTTCAAGTGAGCCTCCGGTTGACCATGCCCGTCCCTTATGTACGATTGTTTCAACCCTACCAAGGTAGACAATAGAGCTATGGTTTGCTACAAGACGGTCGGACCATCATCCCGTGTACGCAATATGAGGTCGAACGTCTTGAAGGAAGAAGGGTCTTAGACTTAGTCATGATGTCAGCTCCAGCTGAAGCCGCCTCTTCCATCAGCTACCCATACACACAAAGTCCAAGCATTCATTTCTGATTTCCCCGCCGTAGTCAGGTAGCGTCGTACTCGACAACTGGTCGGTGTTTTTTTTTTTTTTTTTTCATTTTTGTTTCAGCCGTTATGTAACTAATATTGTCCTCCGGACAGGATCAGACCCAAAACGGAAACCGGCTCCCGTCGGGAGGGTATGCTCATCCCTCACTCCCGCCACTTCCAACAGTCACTTAGGGTTGATCCCCTGAGGAGAATTTGCATTGGGATGACATTACTGATACCACCCTGCATGCGCCATTTAAGGCCACATCCCCGGGACGTCGTGATGAAAGAGTCACAGCAGGAGTGCAAAAAGTTCCATCACATTACATTGCATAATTGCACCATTTTCGTGCGGCAATGTTCAAGATCCTGCGCGGAAGTATGAATACTCTAACCACCATATTTTATTCGTGGGAATGCTAACTACCTCTTTGTTCACAGCACCTGAATGCTACACTCTCGCCAAGCGAAGACTGTGTTGCGTGCTGCGCCGCTTACGCCGTGGCAATAACCTGCTCCAGAGCTGCCTCTTTGGGGTAATGGGTAGCATTGCGGAGGCCCTGGTACTCGAGGGCGGTAAGATGCTCATAAACGGGTTTCGCTCCGTTGGCGAGCATCTCGTCAAGTGGGCCCACGCTGGCGTGTCGATCAGCCTTGTTGAAATACACGAGGCTCCAGCGTTCGGGGACCAGGTCCCCTTGCACATCCAACGGTCGGTTGACACGGTGAAGCCCCGCACGAATGCCCCCATTTGTCCAGCGCTGCAGCGTCTCGCCCACAATGACGACAACCTCCTGGTCCGATTCATAAGGCATGGGGATAAAAGTTCCTGGGTTGGCTCGGTCCTCATATTCCAGCCCCGGTGTCACGTCGGGAAACACCAGCGAGATGATACCAAAGTCGTTATGGGGCCAGATCCGGCTGACATCGCCACGATCGAGCACGGCCTTGTCGACCACTGGGAAGTGGTTAATGCGAATCGTACTCGCCTCGTTGGTGCAGCGCGATGTGAACAAGTCGCGGTTATACTGCATCTCTTCCGCAATCAGGGTCAGCAGAACAAGGGTAAGATCTCCGCAGGACATGAAGAACCGCTCCATGGTGTCTTGATAGCCAGGCAGGGCCTCGGCGGACGGCCACTTGTTCGGAAACAGCTTATCGTTGGGGTGCCCACAGTCAAAGCTCTCCTGGGGCGCAAAAAAAAAAAGTTCCGTTAGCCAATAGCCAGCCCTCATTCTTGTTTTGCTGTGCCGCCGGTTATTCTCACATACCTTGCTATCACTGAACTTGGGCTCCTTGATCGCCCCGGTGTTACTCTCCAAGTACCATGTCTTCTCCTCTCCCGGCGTGCACCATCCCCTCTGTTGGTTCTGGGTCCGGTCGTTCACGATGGCCAGCTTTTCCTTGAGCGGCAACTTGAAGAATTTTTTGATCTGCGGCGGCTGGCGTGAGCTCCTGCGGATACCAGGTACTGAACGCCCGGGGCACCGAACAAACCTGATCGAATGTCTCGGCCACAAGTGGAACCGGGACCGTGTGGTTGATAAGCTTGACGAAGCCGTATGTCTTCAACCCGTCCAGTAGCTTTGCCCTGAACACGGCGAGTTGCTGCTCGTCCCCCCCTGTAAGGGCGGCGGCGTCAATTACCGGGATGGTCATTATCGTTGGTGACAAGTCCGTGATATTTGTCAGCGTGTGAGAGGAATATTAGGACACAAGCTTGAGTGGCCCCTTGTCTATTGTTGTAGGAGTTGCTGCTTGAACCATTCTCGCTCACTTCGAGACCACCCCCATTTTTTAAGCGCGACCAGCGGTCCGTCTTCGGACGTCCCTCCGATCTCTTGGGGTGATGCTCACGTAAGATCGATACGTGAGTCAGCCGAGCCGAAATTGAGTATAATGCGATGTAGAATGACTCTCTAAGTCCTTTACTCATGTCATGCTATCAAGGTGATGCTTACCTCTACTCAAGAAATGGTGAGGGCAACGGATAGTCGAACCTCCATGAGCCCTGTGCGCCGGCCTATGCATGCTAGGTACCCACTGTTACATGTAGTATTTTCTGGCAATAAATGCCAACAGTGACACAATTATCATGGTGCAATGACGAAATTTCATCGCCGCCTGCAAGATGCTTGTCAATACAACCGTTACCTTTTTGATCCGGCCCGAGATTCTCAGCCTCGCAGCTGTCCTCGGCGTCATCTATTTCATGTTGCCTTGGGCAATCAACTACGTACAGCTGCGGCGACTCAAGACGCCAACTGTCGACGTCCCGGTGATAAACCTCCACAGGAAAGATTTCGACGGGGCTGCCGAGCACTACTTGTACCACTTCAAGGAGATTCTAGAACAGGGGTATGACAGGTTCAAGGGGTTATACAATAAAGGGGCTTTTCAAGTATGGGGAATCGACGGTTACATCGTCATCGTCTCGCCTGAGTACCTGGAAGAATTGAACGCATTGGGAACCGACACATTGGACTTCCACTCGGCCAGTCAGAAACGTATAATCGGCGACTACGAATGGCTCCGCATCGCAGATGAACTTGAGGCGCATACCATTCTTACCGACCTGACCAGGAACATTGGTGAGAAATTTTATCAACCAAAGCTTTTGTGTAGTATCCGTGTTAACCGCCGGTTCTCTAGGCAACCTCCTACCCAACATTCACAAGGAAATCGAGCATGCTCTTTCAACGGAGTGGCCAAGCTGTCCAAAATGGACTCCAGTCAAGGTCTGGCCGAGCATGTTTCGCACCATGGCCCTCGTCATCTCGTTGATGATAGTGGGCCCAGAGCTCAGCCGTGACGAGCACTGGCTTAATACCATGATCAGCTTCGTCGAGGATGTCTTTGTTGGGGGCTGGCAACTCAAGAAGTACTCGCTGTTTATGCGGCCCATTGTGGCGCGCGGTCTAGTCCCTGGAATCCGGCGCGTATGGCAGCACCAGGAAAACGCGCGCAGGCTTATCGTTCCCATGATCTCACGACGTCGTGCCGAGAAGGCTCGAGCCGAGACCGCCGGCGAGAAGTACGTGAAGCCGCAGGACATGGTGTACTGGCTGTCGGAGGGAGCGGCAAAAACACTCCCGCCGCGGAGCGACGCTAATGTGGCCGAGCTGTGCCTCATGATGAACTTCGCGGCGCTGCATGCCGCCACCGTCACACTGACCAACATTATGTTTGACCTGGCTGCCAGACCTGAGTATATTGCTCCTCTGAGAGATGAGTACTCGACAGCCAAGGCTAAATATGGCGGGTTCACGGAGAAACAGGCCATTCTGGTCAATAGCCTTAGCAGGCTTGACTCCTTCATGAAGGAGTCACAACGTATGAATCCAGGCACACTGACGACGTTCTCGCGGCTTGTGCGCAGGGACGTACAGCTGTCGTCGGGCCTCGTATTACCAGCTGGGACACATATTCTAGCGCCAGCAGCGATGATCTCACTCGACGGCAATGTCTACAAAGATCCCTTGCAGTTTCAGGGGTTTCGATTCCACGACCAACGCACTGCCGACGAGGATAGCATGTATGCGAAGCAATTCACGACCACATCCCCACAGCAGATGCACTTTGGCTATGGCCGCCAAGCCTGCCCTGGCCGCTTTTTTGCGAGCGCTGTCATCAAGTGCATCACGATGCATATTTTGGAGACGTTTGATCTCAAGCTCGTCGACCACGAGGCCGGCCGGCCGAAGAATGCCCTGAAAGGTGCAATGAACATGCCGAGCGAGACCGCTGAGATTATGATGGTTCGACGGGGAAGTGGGAAATAGAAGGGGCTTGGTACATAGGTAGCTTCAGAGCCCGGAATGATATCTCTCAATTGGCCCCTCGAAAGCACTCCCGGCCCCCTGATATTCGTGATTAATATGTACATGATCACGCTATTCTACCCTCTGGGGGCCCCTCTCTTGTCCGGCGAAGGCAAATAGTGGCTTTGCTTTCTAGTGTGACGAACCTACTTCAGGACCCTGTCCTGTTAGGGTTCAGCTTCGGTTGAAGGTAATCTCTCAAGGGTGCTTAGGTTCGGTGCAGCCAAAGGGTGCACAACAAAGACTTAACAGTAGGCTCCACGAGCTCGTAGCGAACTGTAGTTGTGATTGCTAACTGGAGAACTCCCAGAGCTCTCCAGAACAGCGCTCCGAACAGTTCAATTTTTTCAGTTCAGTAGTTCAATCCAATCAATCCAATCCAATCCAATCCGGCCATTTTGGGTCTCAGTGCAATCCAGATCCAGCTCCAGGATTGAATTGAGCTCGATTGAAACTACAGGGTTAGGGTTATAAGCGACAATACTTGCCGTTATCTGATAGTTAACTAACTAGTTAACGTTAACTAACTGGCGAACTTATTTATCGATAACTAACAGTCTCGTTGTTTCAAACAGGGTCAATCGCTGTTGGATTGAACTTGCCATCATCAACCGCCCTTCGACCAGGTCCAACCCTACCACCCAATGGCTACCTCAGACACGAGCTCTACTGCCACATCCCCGACGAATGCCGCTGTCGTCACCGGGCCTGTCGTCACCACCGAAAACAGCACCTTTTCGAGGCTTGGCCATGCGCTTTCCCTAGTTCAACAGATCGAGGCGCTTGGGGAGGACCGTCCAGCGTCAATCGTCCCCGAGCAATGGCCTGTTGTGACCTGCAAGAAGGACCTCAAGTACGTGCCTGAAAACTGGCTAGATAAGCGGCAAGACAGGCGCTCTTGGGTGTAGAAATACGGCTTTTGCGTTGCCCTTGTCGTCGATCCAACTGGTTAGTTTTATTTCTCACAACAGCGCCCTCAACGCTTATCGTTATAATAACCGATTATTTATACAGTCAAGATGAAGGCGACAAGCTTCCATTTCGTCTGCAAGCGATGTAGTGCAACGTTCAACGCTCAATCGACTTCGGCCGCACGAAGTCATCTCGAAGAACAACACCGTATTTTTGACGATAAACCTCACTCGAATTCGAACGACCCCCAAGCTACAACATCAAGAAAACGAGCTGCAACGAACCACAGTATTAGCGAGATGTTGAGCCGCAACAAGAACAAAAGGTTGACGGCCGTGGTTCCAAGAACCCAAGGGGAGCGCTTTCGTTACCTCCTTGTTTGTTGGATGGCTACGGCAAACATTCCGTTCGCCGCAATGGAAAACAAGTATTACCGTCAAATACTACAGCTCTTCAACGCTCCATTAACTGACGCCCTTCTTCCAAAAGGGGGGGATACAACAAGAAGCTGGCTCACAAGTATGTATCACGATCTTCTTGATTCCATCAAGGTTAAGCTCGAGGCTTCTCCACATCAGAAACACCTCTCTTTCGATCTGTGGACCTCCTCTCATGGCCTTGCGCTACTCGCAGTCGTTGTTCATTATTTTGAGAGCTCTGGCAATTATCAAACACACCTCCTGACTCTGTCACGGATTACGGGGACTCATGCTGGCGAGAACATTGCACCTGGTGTTCTAGACGTCATCAAGACGTTTGACCTACAGCGCTGCCTTGGATATTTCCAAACCGACAATGCAGATAACAACGATACGGCAATGACGAGGGTCCTTTTACACCCAATCCAACGCTTTCCCCTGCGCAAGCCATCGCCCTCAAATGCAAGGTCCGGGTCCGTTGTTTCGGGCACATATTGAACCTTGTTGCTAAGGCCTTCCTTCAAGCAACCAACAAGAAGCTCATCAAGTCCCTGGCACCGGAATCCCTGGCACACCACAACGCAGCGGAAGAGGGAAGGCTTCTTCAGGAATGGCGCAAGTCTGGCCCTATTGGAAAGCTCCACTTCCTGGTTCATCACATTCGCCGCAGTCCTCAACGCCGGGATCTGTTTTCGGATATCGCTAAGGGCAAGTTGACAGAGGAAGAACAGCAAGAATTCGGCGCTATTCTAATCGACAAGGACATTGCAAAGCTGCAGTTGCGTTCGGACAATGAGACTCGATGGCATTCAGTTTACCACATGATCGACCGGGCAATCATGTTACGTGATCCTCTGGATTATTTCGTCAACATCGTGACCAAGAAGGATCCAGATAATATCACGAGCGATGACCAGCTTACGCCTTCAGAGTGGGTGGTGCTCAAAGAGATCCGTTGCATCTTGGAACCGTTCAAAATCATTACAAAGAAGTTTGAGGGCCGGAAACCAAACTTTGCAGACGTCGTATCACATGCCTACACCCTGCACAGGAACCTCAACGAACTCTATCAACAGTATGCCAGAACAGCCAGTCAACATCACGATTTCCATGGGGGTCCCTGGGTTGGTATACGGCCACCGTCGCCGGCCCTGGGAAACTCTCTCAATCCCGGTCGGATGCAGTCGCTTTCGTCAGACCCAGACCCAGATATTGAACCCCCAGTCAACGTGTTGAGCCTTCCAAGTCAACGGCGATCTGGGCGAACTATCCGGCCTCCAGCTCACTTGGACGACTTTGAAGTTGACCTCCCAGCATTTGGATATCGGCCCTCTACCGCAGAGCCCCACCCAGCGCCATCGCCACGCCCTCAACAGCGTGTTGTTCAACTTGGGGAGGTAATTGACGATGAAGTTGATGATACTGGGTATGCCTTTATCCAAAAGAGTCTCAAACTTGCCATTGAGAAGCTGGAAAAGTATCTGGCGATCATGGACGCCACCCCAGCTTATTGGGCGGCAATGATACTACTTCCGAACTGTAAGATGCGGTGGATTGAGCGTTTTTTTACAGATGATCCGCTTAAGTCGTCCGACATTCAAGCCCGGTTCCGGGTTTTCTTTGACCACAATTATCCTCGACCGGCTCCGGATTCATCAAACGGGTCCCGGGACCGACCTTCACATCGCCCGGCGTTTGGGTATGACTTCTATGACCCTCCAGATCGCGTATCCGTTGATGAGGTTAGTGTCTACCTCAATGAGCCGGTTCTGCCACTAGAAGAGACCCCTTATCAATGGTGGTGGCGTAATCGTGACCGTTTCCCACGGCTTTCCAAGATGGCATTTGAGTTGTTATCTATTCCACCCTGTTCAACAGAATGCGAGAGGTGTTTTAGTGCATCGAAGTTGGCCCTGGGTCATCAGAGAAACCGCACGCACGAGGAAACCCTTTGTATGCTTCAGTGTATCAATAACTGGCTGCGGATTCTAGATAGCTAGAGCAGGAGGAACGCCAGGGAGTGGTGTGACTGTTGGAGACCTTTTGGGGGCTGAGCGGAACGGATCAGCTGCTTCCGGGGGGTAGGCCTTGGCAGATTGAACTAAACAGTTCAGTTCAATCTGAGGAACAGTTCAGTTCAATCGCACCTCAAAATCTTCAATCCAATCCAATCGGGGACCGAGGATTGGATTGATTGAACTGTTAAGAGCGCTGCTCCAGAACGAGTGACTATATACCTATCTAAGTCCTGTGTGCTCAGTGTGCTCAGTTGTACCCTCCAACTGAGCTCACTGAGCCTCTCATGTGGCTTCCCTGATTGGTTTGTTTAGCGATTGGCCTGTGGTTCCGCCCGTTGGCACATCCGTGACATCGAGGATCGCGTGTCAGCTGAAACTTTCTCCAATCCTGCAACAGCTTGAGCCCGGGTTCATGGACAAATGGATCACGAAGTTCGCCATAGCCGGTGCCATGGCACCCAGTGGCCAGAACAAGCCGGACTCCAAGGTAAAGATCTACTGGCCGAATCACGACTGTGTGAACGAGAGGCAAATCATTCCTGACCGTAGGTCGTCCCGTTCTATTGTTCGATAGCATTCCCTTCACTTTGGCTTAAGTAAGTCCCCGCTGCTGGGACTTCTCGGCATTTTCGGGGCATGGCTTCTCGTGTAGAAGGCGATTAGTCACCGGGCGATCACGCCTCGCATGTCGCTCGTAGGTGCCGCATCTTCCTTTGTTGAGCCCCTAAATGTGTAAATCCGACCCCAATCAGCCGTACCGGGGTCAAAACCACTTTTTCTTTTCCATATCCTGAATGAGCCACGCCGGCAAACGTAATCCCGCACTATTAATTCTTTTAGTGGTTAAGAAAACACTAACTTCCGCCTTGGGTCCACTTGTAGTGTCAAGTCGTAGAGTTGCCCGGAATTAGAGGGAGTGGAGGCAACATGACGGAGACACGTGGGAGGCTCAAGATCCTGCTTATCATCTTTACCCAGAGTGCCAACTGTGTCCCTTGGCTTCGGAACTCCAATCTGCCGAATTGCTGAGCGTGAAGCCTCTGTATCCGGAAGCTGGCGAGGGCGGCCGGACGGGTAAGTTACTCCCGCCGGAAGAGTGGGCAGCCGAATGTCTAGCTCCAAGATGAAAGCCGTTTTAGGGAATGAGCGACAAGGCTAAGCTATTCAGTTTCAGGAAATGACTGTTTTCCGAACACAACCTGATACCAATAACCAAGCAAACCTCCTCTCCACACTCTTGGTGATTCGATTGCCTGAGTGGGATCGGGCACTTCGTACACGTCGACGGTCTTTGCCCCGGGGCGAAATTCCAAGTATTCGTACCTAACATCCAATTGTGGCCGAATCTTGGAAATCGTGTTTGCTTCATTGGTTGCGTAGCCGATCGCCGGAGGAATGGGGCATGCCCATCCACATCGCCGAGATGTCATCCCAAATGTTGGGTCAGGAGACACCTCTAGCAATGTTCCGAGAGGAGGCTGGTAGTGGCGAAAAGAACGCAAGTCCGATTCTTGTCTGTCAATGGAAGTACCTCGTAAAGTTTTGATGGATTTGTGTCTGCCTGCCTCTTTTCAGCATCATACGTAGGTAGGTACCTATATAGCTCATGCTCTGCCCTCCTAGCCACAACATACCTGCATCCTTTATTGTACCTTTTGGATTTGTGCAATACCAAACACTATCGTTCACCACACGCTCATCCACCCACGATGCACTTTGCCAGCGTTGCCTTGGCGTTTTTCGCCATCGTTCCCAACGTTGCTGCGCAACGGCCTTCAGACATATCGATTTGCGACTATTACACCACCGCGCTGCTCAAAAATAACACAGCTGACAACCAATACAATCTCTTGGTCGCGTTGGTCAACACGGTAGTCATCGGAAACTGTAAGTTTTCGCTTACGGCTCAACTTCAAGCTTGTCGTTATTGCCATCTAACCATTTGTCCGTGTCTCTCGTAGATACCCAGCCGAACGTTGACATAACTGTACCCGGAATCCTCGCCGAAGGGATTTACAATGGCACAAGCGTCAACCTGTTACCGTATTTCGACGGAACGCTCAACAGCACCAACCGCGGTGGCAGTTCTGGGGAGTCGGTCAACTTTCTTGATGGCGGAGGTGCCACCCCATTGAAACAGAACAAGGCTGCCGATGACGCGGACTCTAAGCAATAGTGCGGCCTCATCTCGAACTATTTTACACTTCTCTGTCGAAAGAAATAATCTACTAATATGATGGTTATTGTGCAGTAAGCTTCTTACCCACCTGTACCAGTTTTTTGGCACCCTTCTCGGTTGCTCCATGCAGGGGATGTCCGTCTTTCCCACTTACCAGGGCAACCCATCCATGTTCAAAGTTCACAAGTTTATGAACCTGAAGCCGGCTGAGCTCGGCTATTTTGTCCAGCAGGTTGCCCTGGCTGGCGCTTCTTTCGGTGTCGCCAAGGATGATCTTGAGGGCGTCGGTATGGCCTTGGAACAGCTGTTTGGTCTTCGCTGTGCCCCGCCGATGGAGGTCGTGAAGAGTCAAGGCGCCCAGCTGCAAGCAATTTGCATCGACCAAAGCTGCCCACTCGCGCAAGAAGCCGTCTGCAGCAAGTACGACGCCCCAGATAACGTCACTCCGGCCGGCACCTCAACGTCGGCCACGCCTGCGAGCTCTGCTACAAGCGCGGTAGCCACGGGAGGTGTGGCCGCCACAGAACTTGGCATGGGGGCCGTTGTCGTTGGTTTTGTGGCACTGCTGTTGTGATGTGGTGAGACTTCAAACAAAACAGGTTCTAATCACATACATCCACAAGCATGACCAGGACCGAGCTTGGCTGCTAAGTGATTATAAGTACTTATACTAGTTAGATAGCTGCTGAATTTCTCAATAACAATCAAGCACATTTTCATTCCAGTTATGGTGATGTCTGAGTCGTAGTATGTTGCATGTTGGCTTTTCTTCGGAGGTTATGAGTTTGTCCTCGGCTGGGCCGCTTATTGGCCTCAGCCCTGCTTTGGGATGGGCCTCTTACAGGCCTCGGTCGTCTCATTTGATCCTATTGTCTATTTTCGTTCTGACATATGGAAGCACAAGCTCAAAACAGGGGCTGAGCTGCGCCACCAACAATGGCTGCGTGAGAAACCGCGCCTGTTGGGGGCTGGCCGTCAAACAACGAAACGACGCCTCATTGACGCCAAAAACACTGTTTTGTAAAGGATAAAGTATTCTCGCATCCGCCGGTCTCCCCCGCCTTTCCCCATCCCTCGCGCCCTCGACCGACTCATCGCCCTAGGCACTTACACAATGGGCAGCTCCCAGTCGTCTCCAGCACCAGCTCTCGCTGAGCGTGGCCCCCATGGCTTACCAATGCGTTTCGTTGTCCGCGGTGCCGGGCGCGGTTTCAAGCTCTGCGGCGAAGACGCCAAAGTCCCCATCCATTACATCCAGAAACAACACGCACTTTTGTCCAAGCACGAACACCTCATTTTACATACCTCGGGCCACAAGAAGGACAAGTCCCCTCCTCTTATCTCCATCAAAAAAGGCGTCCTCGGTACCGCGCCCGTCGGCGGCAAAAACAGCAAATTCCACGTTCCCAACTTTGAGAGTTACAACATTGAGCTACACAATAGCAACCAGAACAACGTCATCGAGATGAAGTACGAAGGCCGTAAGGGCTTGGCTAAAGACAAATACGCCTTTACCCTGTTCTGCAACGGGCGCAGAGAAACCTTCCGCTGGTACGAGGCTGATAGACTGAATTGCCCTGAGGTGAGGGAGATCCATAAGCGCCAAAAGCCCATTGTGAAGACGGGTATGCCTAAGGATACAAAGAAGAAGAGAATTGGGACCATGATTACGGGTAGCTATCTGATTAGGGTCACTGAGGGCGCTCCACAGTGTCCGGGTAATCCCAACGCTGTGCTTGGTTGGGACGAGAAAGGGAGAGAAATTGTTGCTAGCTATGCCAAGGGTGGCAGTGGGTTTATTGGCGGGACCAAGATGTTCTTCCAGTTTTGGGGCAGTGCGGCTAAGGGGCAATTCGGGGAGGACTTCACCCGCATTGCGGCCGTTACTGGGACGGCTTTGTGGAGGGAGCAGATTGCTGAGCAGCAGGCTGCGCAACGACGGAGCCAAAACCTAAATCGGTAGACGAAGGACTGGTGTATTGTTTGTCAAGAGTAATCATAGTGTCATTTGGAGCAATAGAATAGTTTTTCTCAGCCAAGCGAGCTGTGAAAGGTTTCAGGTGTTGGTTGACTGCCCAACCGCAACTGCTGATAATATTGAACGGTCCAACTTGTCAACTGTGCTAGCTATATCCACAATAATGGAACAGGGTTGAGTGTTATTTGTTGAGGCAAATATTTGATAAGTCGGCCTTGCGTCATGCACTGTTTTCATGGCCAAATACTCTCTCTTCATGAGCAGCACCTACTAGGCATTCTAGCATCCTCGGCATCAACGCCCCTGTACTCAAAATACATCCTGAACTCGGTATCGTTAATGAGGTCATCGGCTAGGTGTTTCTCATAGGCCATCGAAAACTCGGGGCCCTCGTCCGAGCCTGGGTTGTTATCCCGGGTTGGATAGATGATGATCACACCCTCAGTTACGCGATCGAGTAGGTGACGGTACGTTAAAGGGGTGGCGAAGCCGAAGTCGGCCGAGACAATGTTGGCGTCGCGGTGGTCCGTCTGCAGGATGGACATAGGTGGGTGCGAATCGATGCGTATGTTGAGGCTTGTCTTGTCACGCACCATGGCCACCATGTCGAGCGTCTTGTCCAGATTTTCCTGCGTAACGCTGCTGGTCATACGTCGGATGTATAAGGCGAGTGTCGACAGCGGCGCGTGAAGAATCTCGTCGATAGTAAGTTGCTGGACAGGTGCCGTCGATGACAGGGCCGCAAACATGACGTTGTGCTGGATGCGGGGGTGCACCTTAGGGCTATGCATGCGACGACGCATGTCGACTGCCTCAGCCCAGAAGATGTGAGACGAGGGGTTCGGTTTGAAGACAGGGGTGCGCAGCCGTGTCAGCGTACGCCATATGAAGGCCGAGAAAGCGTCATACGTTGAAATCCACGAGCCGTCGGTGGGTGATGCCAGTGTCTTGAGTTGGGCGGCCTTGCTCTTGGGCAGGTGAAAGAGCAGCAATTGGGCGACCTTGTGGCCGGGGTGGCGTTCAGCTTGAGGTGGGCCATCCACTTTAACCTCGTCGGCCATCTCCTTCTTGGTAAGGCGTGAAAGATCCAGGCAGGCCAGGTCCCATGTGGGAAAAGCCGTGTTTGTGAGGGCAGCTCTGCAGTTCTCGGCTAGTTGATGCGTAAAGCCGGACCATCCCATTACGTCGTTGGCGTAATGGTGATGGTGCATATTGAGGACGAGGCCGCCGCGCACAAAGTTGGCTTGGAAAGCGGAGACCACTGGGTGGTTATCTGGGTGAGCTTCGGGCTTTTCCCCGTATGTCATGGGCGGTACGCTCCAAGTCTCCAGATTCCCCAGAGTCACGGCGCTGTAGTTTGCCCTCTCAATATCGTCAATGGACGGATACTTGGTGCTCTCTTCGGGCGCGTCCAGCCATTGTACCACGAAGCGCACCGTGCTGTTTTTTTTCCTCACAAATGAATGGCCACCCTCGGGATCCTTCTCGATGGTACCGACGTAGTGACGGGCTTGGCTGAGAGTTCGCTCAAGACCTGCTTTCAAGACCGCCGCAGCCTTCCCCTTGTCCAGATCGTGGAGCCGAAAAAATACCGCATAGTTATTGTAAGTGCAAGCCGTCAGGTAATCGAGGGTTGTGACTTTGAACCGCTCCTCCTCCGGGTCGTTTTCCCAGGCAAAGGGGTGCAGGTGGTAGACGTCTTGGCGGGGCATAACTGTGGGAAATGTTGGTGGTGTTGCTCACTTGTTGCTCTGGCTGGGAGAGAGGAAGTGCTGCAGTTGCAAGTTGGGAACATGATCTTTGGAGTCTGCGAAACAGTTAAAGGCGGGCTGCCAACAAGTTGAAAACCCCGGGGCCGCCCCCTCCGCTACGACGCTGACGCCCCACAAGACGCTGCAGATCGGTCTCCTCGTTCCCACCACTCTTCGTGAATTTTGATTGGCTAGGGAACCTAACAGTTGGTGCGAGAGCTGCTCCAGGAGACTACGAAAAGAGAGGTCCTGGGGTGAGGTCCCTACCTTATCAATACCATCAAGAACCGGATCCAGCCTTGGGACTCCTCGGCAACGATTGGTTGCCCAGCTGTTATTCTTGCCTGATGGGGAAAGTGGGGCGCCTTATTTGTGACTGGTAGCAGGCTCGGCTAGGCCAACAAGATAGCTTCGACCGAGGCAAGGTAGTGTCGACGGAACCAGCCTTCGACAATTTCACGCGGTCCTCAACGCCGACGGGAACGTTTTTCCAGGGGCAATGGAAGCCCTTGGGGCAAAGAACGACGTCAACATTGCGAAGATTGCCTGGCTCAGCAGCAAGGACACAGGCAAGGCTTACGGCTCGATGGTCTTCTACGTGACGAAGGGTAGCGAAGCAAGGCGACTTCTAGACGGGCGTTACTTCCATCTCGCCGGAGAATCCGCTTACACGACCGTTTTTGCGCCCCGGGAAGGCCCAACCCAGTGCTACAGATGCCAGGAAATCGGCCATAAGGCCTTCGCCTGCAAAAAGCCGCAAAGATGCGGAAGGTGTGCGGAACAGGGTCACCACCACAAGACGTGTCAATCCGTGGTCCTGAAGTGCGTGTTATGCAGAGGGCCACACGAGTCATTCAGCAAGAACTGTCGGGTACGCTGGTTGAACAATGGTGCCCAAGACGCTTAAGATCCTTCAGCTCAACGTCCACAAACGGAGAGAAGTGCAGCAGAGTCTGCTAAACGAGGAGGGACTCAAGGACTTCGCAATGCTGGCCATCTCCAAACCATATGCCAGGCTGATCGAAGGCTCGGTGACGACGGTCCCAATGAGTCACTACAACTGGACGAAGCTGATACCAACGACAAGACGAGAGGCGACGTGGCCAAGTCGGAGCATGTTATGGGTACGAAGCGATATAGAGGTTGAGCAAATTCCAGTGCCGTCGGCAGACCTCACCACAGCACGCATCCGGCTCCCAGATCGGGCAGTGCTGATGGTGTCAGTGTATGTGGAGGGTGGTAATGACGAAGCACTGGAAGATGCAATGAGGGAGATTGACCTAATGATTAAGAGGTTTCGAAACGGAACAGGGACGAGAACGGATATTATGTCAGAACAAGCCCAGAGCGGCTTGCGCCTAGGACCTGGGTCACGTGACCCGGGGGCCAACCAAATTACTGGTCGCCAGAAAATTAGACCAGTTCAACAAGTTGAACAAGAACAACGAACAACAAGCACTGCAATTGACAGCCATCAACACCCTCTACTCCGTTCCTTTTGACCCAAGCCTTCAGTGATCTGCTCAATGTCTTGAAATACCGCTGGTTCCAACAATTAAGAGTCTCATTCGCCTCGCAATCCCCGAGCAAGCCAGCCCTCAATCTACGGTCCAGCAGCCATGGCGCCGATCACTGAAGACAAGACCGTCACCCAGATCCTGACTGGTCCCAGCACCTGGGTCAGTTGGCATCGCGAGTTCACAAACACAATGGACGCCCTCAAGCTCCTCGAATACTTCCAGGGCACCAAAGAACTCCTGACCGAGCCACGATCATCGGTCAATCCGCTGCGAATCATGGAACGGGCGCAAGAACGGCGCAAGAAGATCGCAGAAGAGAAGGGAGTGGCCATCCTTGCGCTCACAGATGAGGAACTCGAAGGCGCCACCGAAGCGACGCTCGATATCTCGACAGCGACCACTCCTCCCGACAGCGAAACAGAGGGAGAACAAGCCTCCGGGGCACCCACTGCCGCACAGAAGAGGACCGCAGGGAAGGCAGTGGACGACTATTTCCAGACCTACGGCCTGTTCATTCTTCAATCCATTCAGAACCTTCACGACAACCGCCGTAAGGACTGGACAGCCCAGTCCACCAAACTCGACAAAGCTCGAACCTTTCTCAACACCACTGTCGCGATCACCCTCCGCAACGCACACTTTTCAACCGGCGGGAGTCTCCGGGACTGGTACAAGAACCTAAAAGCCGTCGCGGAGGCTCGCCACGAAACAATCAGCGCCCTGCGTGGCAGGATGAGCGACCACTACACTGCCCTAAAAGGGAAGGCCATCACCCAGGCCGACTTTGGTCAGTGGCTGACTCAGTGGGAGACCCTGATGGGCGAGGCAACCATGTACAAGCTCCCTGAGGTCTCCAATGAAGGATCCTGGTTCGAAGACTACGCTCGAGCCGTGGGACCGATCGTGCCACTATATGCAGCACTGGTACGGTCCAACCGCCTCACCAACCCGAACCTGGGTTACAGAGAGATCGCCACCGAGGCGCGGCAAACAACTATCCCCCTGCTGCCCTCGACGACAGGCGCACGCATTCAGAAGGGCGCATTTCCGTCATTCAACCCCAGTGATTCAAATGAGTCTGGGAAAGCTAGCAAGGCCTCCCACAAGCGCAAGAACAGCACTCTTCCTACCGAAAAGGCCAAATGCCGCCTCTGTCACGGAAGACATCACATGGAGCGCTGTGCCTACATCATGCCACACCTGGCACCTGAAGGCTTCCAAATACGGGACCACGTCAGAGAACGTGTGGACCAGAACATAGCCTCAGACTCCTCATTGAAGGCCGAGGTCGAGCGCATTCAGAACAAGCGAACCAAAAACTCTAAGCAACAACCAGATGCTCCGGCGCAAGGCCATTGACTGCCGGCCGAGCAGCTGTGGAGAGTCATTGGCATATGCTCAGCGATTCTCGCGGCTATCCAAGTCAGCTTCCAGGCAGGGGTACTATACCCCCTCGTCAATTCGGCGATACTGGACTCAGGATCAACTATCCACATCTTCAATAGCTTCCACCGGTTCAAAAAGCCACCCTCACCAGCAGGTCCAAATGACTGTGTCTGGGCCGGGGAACATCCCGTGAAAATAGAGGGCTATGGCACCGTGGACATCAAAATCAGCAGCCTGCAGGGGCCTAAAATACTGACGCTTACAGGCGTGGCATATTGCCCGACCTTTGCGTGCAATATCATCTCCCTGAAGGGACTCAATAGGCGTGGCATCTGGTGGGACAACCGCCGCAACAGCCTCCAACGGAATGACGGCTCAACGCTGTGCTTCCTTAGCATTCACTACGATCAATTCGTGGTTGAACACCTTCCTGAACAGGTCCCTGCCGCAGCAATGGCAGCACGCAAGCGGAAGATTAATTCCTGGACCTCACGAGCTGACAGCAGTGCAGACGCGATGACCTGGCACCTCCGCCTAGGCCACCCAGGACCCAGGGTATTAGAACACCTGGTCAATCACTCCCTGGGCGCACGCATCAAAGGCATTACCACCGTCCAATGCGACGGGTGTGGGCAAGGCAAGGCTAAACGCCAGATTAGTCGTGCAACAAGGACTACAGAGATGGAACCTGGAGACCGGTTGGCACTGGATTTCCACGAGTTCTCCCCTCCCAACAAAGGATTACGATACTTGCTACTGATCACTGACCGTGCCTCAGGTATGTGTTGGGACTACTACCTTGCAAGACGTGAGGCGAGGCAAGTCCTTGCGGCCCTGAAGCACCTGTTCCAGCTACTAGAAACGCAGTTCAATATCAAGCCCAAGATCGTGGAATGCGACAACGAATTCGCGAACGCCACGATCCTTGTGGACTTCTGCAACCTCAAGGGCACAAAAATTGAGCCCTCTGCGCCCGACACTCCTGCGCAAAACGGTGGCGGAGAGCGTGCCGGCGGAGTGATCAAGGAAAAGGCCAGAGCCATGCGCATCGGCGCCAACCTCCCTGAAGAGCTGTGGAATGAGACCACAAAGGCCGCAGTCTACCTGTATAACAGGTCACCCAAGTATATCCTCGATTGGAAGTCACCGTACGAGCGGTTCCACGAAGGTCTGGCAGGCAAGGACAACGACAGCCCGACCAGAATACAACGACCGAATCAGAGCCACCTCAAGGTCTATGGGTGCAAGGCATTCGCGCTGACGCGTGGCTCTCTCAAAGGCACTGAAAGGACCAGGAAGCTGGCTCCCCGTGCATGGATCGGATACCTCGTTGGCTACGATTCCTCGAACATCTTCCGTATCTGGAATCCTGTCACTAATCAGGTCGTTCGCACACGCGATGTTGTCTTCAACGAGGAGCAGGTGTTCTCAGGATCAATTGACATGATCAAGAACGACCTTGCACAAGTCGACCTCGAACAACTGAAAGAATGGCTCAACGCCAACACGACCGAGGACAAGAGCATCGCAGAGGAGGAAGAAGAGGAAGATAGCGAGGCACAAAGCACAGGCGCCACTGTGGTATCAACAACCGCAGCCTTCGAAGATGAGGGGGTGACAGAGGTGATCGACGAAGAGGAGGAAGAAATACTGGACAGTATCACCGTCAAAGGCGACCATACATCCACCTTCGAAGACTTCTACCCGACACCACCACAAACGCCGCCCCCAGGCGACCTGCTTGCCGCAGCTTTCCACGGCATGAGAATCTCCAAGTACACTAGCCCACCAGTACGACGTCGCCGTAGAGTTGAGCCGTGGCACGCAGTTTTCCACGCAGGCACACAATCGTCGCCCACAGTAGTGGAGAGCACCCAGGCCACCAGGGCCGAGGTCGCCCGAAGGCAACGAAAGCCACCACGCCAGAGCGCGGGCTCCGCAACCATCACCATAGCTGAGATCAACGTGGCCAGGGCACAGCCAGGCAGTATCAACAACCTCCATCAATCTCAGCTTCCGGCCCCACCAAAACGGCATCATGACCTCGTCGAGCCGCACTTCCCAGTCATCAACCCACGAAAAGGGAAGCCACGACACCAGCGGCACCCACTGGCCGACCTATTCCTCCAGGCCGAACGAGACCACCTGCAAAGCCATGAGAAAACAGGGTCCTGGGAGGAAGTGTCGCGCCACAGCGACCAAATACAGGGCAATCAAATCCTCGATTGCATGTGGGTTTACACCTACAAATTCAACACTCGCGGCTTCCTGGCCAAATGCAAGGCGAGGTTAGTTGTCCGTGGGGACCAACAGAGGGTCAATCATGCCGAGGAGAACTACGCGGCCACTCTCGCAGTGCGGTCCTTCCGGGCAGTCCTGGCCCTAGCCGCCCGCTTCGACTTGGAACTCAAGCAATTCGATGCAGTCAACGCTTTCGTCAATGCCAAAATAGACGAGGATGTCTATATGGAGATGCCCACAGGCTACCGGAGGCCAAGCAGGGTCCTCAAGCTCAAGAAGGCACTTTATGGGCTCAGGAAGTCTCCCCTCCTCTGGCAAGAGGAATTGACAGCTACGTTGACCAAACTCGGCTTCAAGGCTCTACCCCACGAGCCCTGTTTGATGATACGGAAAGGATGCCTCATCTTCTTCTACGTGGACGACATCGTCGTCGCGTATCGCAAAAACGACAGCCATATCGCCAACGCAGCGATCAGTGGGCTAAAGGCCAAATACGAGCTCACTGGTGGCGAGGACCTTCGCTGGTTCCTAGGCATTGAAATTCACCGCGACCGCGCGAGACGCTATATCTGGCTGTCCCAGACGGCTTACATCGACAAGATCGCCGAGTTGGCGCAGTCTGACGACCTCCCCCGCACACCAATGGGCCTGCGAGAGCTTCAGCCATACGAAGGGATCGCGACGAGGCAATCAACCCGCCTGTACCAGCGAAAGGTCGGTTCCATCCTTTATACCGCGGTCATCACCCGCCCCGATGTGGCCTTCGCAGTCGCCCGGTTGGCCAGGTTCAATCAAAACCCTGGACCAGAACATCACCGCGCGGCGGACCAGGTCCTGCGATACCTGCATGTAACAAGGTCTCTGGCTCTGAGGCTAGGCGGCGGCGACTACCTCCGAGTGGCCAGCGATGCCTCTTTTGCCGACAACTCCATCGACCGAAAAAGCTCACAGGGCTACGCAATTACCTTGTTCGGAGGTCTCATCGCCTGGCGCGCCAGCAAGCAAGACACAGTAACCACCTCAACCACCGAGGCAGAACTCCTCGCCCTGGCGCAAGCGGCCAAAGAAGGACTGTTTATCCAACGACTGATCGCTGAAATGGCGATCAAACTCGACGACGACGTCCTGGTTCTCGAATGCGACAATTACCATAACAGACCATCTCCCTTGTGACGAAAGAAATCGCCGTCCTCCAAACGAAGCTCCGGCACGTGGACATCCACAACCACTGGCTCCGACAAGAATATCAACGCGGGAAGATCCACGTAAAATACGTGCCTTCCAAGAAAATGGTGGCCGACGGCCTGACCAAGGCGCTCAACGCAGACAACCACCAGGAGTTCGTCAGGATGCTGAATTTGGAGGACATCCAGTTACTCACTTGACGAAAACCCAAGCAGGGCCGCCAAGCACGGAGTAACGGGCCAAGGATAGAAAGAAAACACCGAGAAATGAAGATCACGGGAGGACATTCAGCCTCATGATTACCCAGTTAGGACAGGAGGCACGGGGCGCCTCCTGAGGGGGTGTGTCAGAACAAGCCCAGAGCGGCTTGCGCCTAGGACCTGGGTCACGTGACCCGGGGGCCAACCAAATTACTGGTCGCCAGAAAATTAGACCAGTTCAACAAGTTGAACAAGAACAACGAACAACAAGCACTGCAATTGACAGCCATCAACACCCTCTACTCCGTTCCTTTTGACCCAAGCCTTCAGTGATCTGCTCAATGTCTTGAAATACCGCTGGTTCCAACATATTATACTGGCGGGCGATTTCAACCGCCCACGACCAGCTTTGGGGAGGGGACGATGTCTCACCACGGAGACAAGGCGAGGGAGACCGCATCATCAACCTCATGGACGAACACTCCCTCTGCAGCCTCCTCCCAAGAGGCACGAAGACGTGGCAGTCAGGCGACATTGAGAGCACAATCGACCTGGTACTGGCCTCTGCAGAACTAGCAGACCAACTACTCAGATGCACGATTCACCCCTGCGACCATGGCTCAGACCACAGAGCAATCGAGACAGCTTTTGACACCACGGTGGAGGACCGTCCCAGTGAGACGAGGTTCCTCTTCAAGAACGCGCCCTGGGCGGAAATTAGGACTAGGGTGGCAGCAAACCTCGAACGCATCCCCTGGGACGGCAATGTCCAGCAGCAGACGGACAGGCTCATGGCAGCGGTAACCGAGGCGGTCTACGGCCTGACACCTAAAGCCAAGCCCTCACCATACGCCAAGCGGTGGTGGACAACAGACCTGACACGGCTTCGCCAGACATACACGTTTTGGAGAAACCAGGCGAGATCTCGACGTAGGATTGGGCAAACAGCACCAGAGCTCGAACAACGAGCCAGGATGGCAGCCAAAGAGTACCACGACGCCATCCGCAGACAGAAGAGTTCGCATTGGAACGACTTCCTGGCCGATGACGCTAACATCTGGCAAGCAACGAAGTATCTGCAAACCGGCAGCGGCACGATGGGCGATAAGATACCCCCGCTCGTCCGACCCGATGGCTCCATCACGGAGGGTAAAGCAGAACAAGCGCAGGAGTTACTCACCGCCGTCTTCCCACCTTTGCCAGCGAGAATCGAAGACGAGGGCCAACGACCTCAACGGGCGCCGGTACACATGCCAGACCTAACAATGGAGGAGATAGAACAAAAGGTCCTGTCCGCTAAGCCATGGAAGGCGCCCGGGGAAGACGGTCTACCGGCAATGGTATGGAGACAGCTCTGGCCAGTGGTCAAAGACAGGGTGCTCCATTTATTCCGGACGTCGCTTCGAGACGGCGACATCCCCAGCCAGTGGAGGAATGCCAAGATCATCCCATTGAAGAAGCCAGGGAAGAGCGAATACACTCTAGCCAAGTCCTGGAGACCCATCTCGCTGCTCTCCACGCTGGGTAAGATACTGGAGGCAGTCATTGCGGAGCGTTTATCCCATGCTGTGGAGACCTGCGGCCTTCTACCCGCCAACCACTTCGGAGCCAGGAAGAGACGCTCGACCGAACAGGCTCTCCTTCTGCTTCAGGAACACATCTACAAAGCATGGAGAGCTAGGAAGGTGCTCAGTTTGATCAGCTTCGATGTCAAGGGCGCATACAATGGGGTCTTCAAAGACAGGCTTCTCCAGAGGCTCAAGGCAAGAGGGATACCTGAACCCCTGGTCAAGTGGATCGACGCCTTCTGCTCCAAGCGCACAGCGACCATTGCCGTAAACGGGTTCACATCTGGACGGCAAGAGCTGCCCCAAGCGGGTCTTCCGCAAGGATCGCCGCTGTCTCCAGTGTTGTTCCTCTTCTTCAACGCCGACCTAGTGCAGCACAAGATCGACGCGAACGGAGGCGCAATAGTAGGAGGGGAGGGGGCGGGTGGGTATAGGGTTAGGGCGTTGAGGAAGGGAGGGGGGGTGGTGAAGGAAGACGTGTCCCCTGGGGGTGAAGAGGAAGCTTGGCCCCCGGGGGTGAAGACCAAGCTTGGCCCCCGGGGGTGAAGGAAGACGTGTCCCCTGGGGGTGAAGACGAAGCTTGGCCCCCGGGGGTGAAGAGGAAGCTTGGGGTGAAGACGAAGCTTGGCCCCTGGGGGTGAAGACCTGTCCTCTGGGGAGTGAGGGCGCAGGCTTGTCCCCTGGGGGTGAAAACGAAGCTTGGGGTGAAGACGAAGGCTGCCCCCAGGGGCGAAGGAAGACGTGTCCCCTGGGGGTGAAGACTGAAGGCTGGCCCCCGGGGTGAAGGAAGACGTGTCCCCTGGGGGTGAAGACGAAGCTTGGCCCCCGGGGGTGAAGGAAGACGTGTCCCCTGGGGGTAAAGACCAAGCTTGGCCCCCAGGGGTGAAGAGGAAGCTTGGCCCCTGGGGGTGAAGGAAGGCTGGCCCCCGGGGGTGAAGACCAAGCTTGGCCCCTGGGGGTGAAGACGAAGGCTGGCCCCCGGGGGTGAAGACCAAGCTTGGCCCCTGGGGGTGAAGAGGAAGGCTGGCCCCCAGGGGTGAAGACGAAGCTTGGCCCCTGGGGGTGAAGACCTGTCCTCTGGGGAGTGAGGGCGCAAGCTTGTCTCCCGGAATCCGGAAGGCTCTTGCAGCGAGCTGCATCAATGCATAATGCATATGCATTACCTGTAGGTTATTCTGAGCTTTGGAACGTCATGAGTTAATCGCGTATAAATTGCCTGTTGTCCTAAAGAACACATCTTGGAAGCATCGTCTGGTAGGGTCAAAGGCTGTGCCATCGGATGCACATCTAGCCTATCTAGCCTCCCGCGGTCACGCAGAGATACCAAACCCAGAGCATACAATGTTAGGCAATATGTGGCGCCAAAAATTATCGACCAGTACAGGTCATCGCTCGATGTGTCAACGTGAGTGCGAACTGCTGCGGCGTATGGCACTGGAAAGAGGTAAGAGGGAAAAGGGAAGAAAGCCGACGCGAGGTGGTGGGGTTTATTGGAGAGATTGGAGAGATAGGTATTTGTTTTTGACAAACAACGGGCGGGCCTGCGCGCGACATCAGCCCCACGTGGGACAGAGAATTGACAGGGTTGCCGCTTCGGGGCGAGGAAGCCCCGAGGAGCCGCAGGTGGGACGGAGCGCCCGACAAGACGACCGATCGTCCATGGCCCATCCATCCGTGTCCGAGTTGGCAGTCAGCCTAGCTATAGGCGTGGGCGAGGTGAGGCGAGATACGCCGGAGTTGGAACTGGGAGCACTGGGTCCGTTGTGGTCGGGTTTCGTGATGCTGTGGTTATGGTTATGAGAATGGCAAGAATGGGTTCTTGTTTACACTGCCCGGGCGCGGCTGGTCGTGGCGTCGTACGCGGTCCGTTTGATAGGATTTGCGACATCAGTAGCGGGGGTATTGTGTGGACGGATTCCGCCTCGCTCACGGACGGCCCATATGCGGCGGCCCGAGGGGCAGCGCGGGTAACCGCCCCGAGCCAATCGTCTGGACGAGGGTCAGCACCGGCAAGAACGGGATCGTCCCTGATAGGCAAGTGATGGGCAAGCGTGCCGGATTTTGACTATACAATTTTGTGCAGTGGCCCGGAGGGCTGCGCGGGAAGCGCCCCGGACCCATCATTAGCACAGGGCTTACGGCCAACCGGAGACGCTATTCGATGCTGGCTCGACGGGTTGCTCACATTGCTGTGACCCTTTGGCTCCGCCAAAATCTCGTGCCGTTGTATCTGACCCTCAACCCGGCGAACCCAGCGTCTGTATGCAGAGAGATTCGCCACGTCTGTCACACGTACCAAGATCTGAAGGCAGAAAGGCGGAGGGGGGGGGCAGGGTTCTGCATCTACTTCTACCTACGGCGACCCCAAAGTAAATAGAATAGGAAGCTATTCTATCAATGTAGATTCTATTTCGGTAGATTGCCAAGGCTTGGGCGGGTAAGGATTAACAGGACCCACGTCGTTTAACATACTTCTTCTACCTAGCCACGAGTGGCGTGTCCGTCGTGGCGTGGCCATGCAGCCAGCAGCTGAGAATGTTCTCTCACACTGAGCTGCCATAGGAGGGACGAGCACGTCAAAGGCCATCTTTGCATTACTTTGCAAGGTGCCTGTAGATGTTCTCGGGGTTCGAGGCAAGGAGGGTATACGTGTTTCTCGGTGGTCTCTTCGCACAGGAGCAGGCCTTGCAAAGCCAACGGATGATCTTGGGTTGTCTTCTTTCCTGCGAACTTTGAATCTGTATTCCCAGAACCAACCCCTTGTGATGCCCATCCGGTCTCGCTCAAGGGGGGGTCAATGGGATCGGAGAGCAGCGACTCGGAGAGGCTGGATGACCGCAGGCTGTCCCGGGTCATGCTCGTGTTCGGTGGAGTGGGCTCAAGTGAGTCGAGAAAGAACTGGATGCGATCTCGCTTGTCTGTTGAGAGAAGGAATAAGGAAGAAGACATATTGATGGGGGCAAAGGGAATTTTATATTGTAGATCTTGGCTGACGCCGAAAGGCTCGTAAGAATGCGGTCAAACGCGTCTTCACGAAGCCCTGTCAACGTCCATGAGCGGTAGGATTCTTGGAGATTGCTGTTACTGGAGACCGCTGTAGTACAAGTTGAAGCCCAGCATTAGCGGCTCGAAAACCGGCAGGAGGCGTACCATTAAGTCTCATCGTATCAGGACTGCGATTCAGTAGCTATTATCGTGGAAAAGTATCTCGCTCGACTCGCCTGAATTTTGCAAACTGAATGAAGGCAAACCGATGCCGGTGACACGATTCGTTGCGGAGCAATAAATTGCAATGGTCTTGTTAGGATCCCAGGACCTCGACTTCAAAATTGTTAGTGACGGAGTTGCTTTGTAACGGAAGTTTGCTGTGCATCGATTACCCCGCCTATCGCGGGGTAAACCTCCTGTCAGTCCTTCCAAGCAACCATTATCTGTAAACTGATCTTTTGGCAAGAACTCTTCAACAAGTCGGGATACAGTGAAGCTGATAGTATCATTAAATTCAGCAAAATTCATGTTAGCAGGATGTATAATATCATCTCCTCCGGGACGCGTCGAGTGATTCAGGGCAATTTAGACCAGAAGACGGACAAGTTTATATCAAGATTTTAATCATTGTAGACCGTTACATACATCATCTAGACAACCCACTACCAAAAGTGGTCCGATCGAATTGAAACATACATCAATCATCTTAATCTCATCTAGAGACTATTTCCCCCACGTGGAATCATCTCAGGTGCTTAAGTCACCGTGCTCTAGCGAGGCGTCAAAAATCGGCTTGTTTTGCCTGCGAACACGCGCCACCAGCTGAGCGGCAGACACGCGCAGGACACGCGCAGGACACGGCCACGAGGCAGAAAAGATACTCAGCGCGAGTCTTTACGCTTGATACACTAACGATGACTTGACCTAGATGTAGAGCGCTTCTAGCCAAGATCTCGGTGTGGCGCTACGGTCCTACCTGAGAGGCTGATGTAGAGGCCAGAACGTCCGACAGAAGACCTTCTAGAGCCGCGGGCTCGAATCACGGTTGGATCTTATTTTGCATTCTCTTGCATACTCCTTGATCACAAGGTGTTAATGGTTTGGGCGTTGTTTGTTGGATGTTCCAATGCTCAGCAAAGCTGTTGCTAAAGCATACACGGAGCGTTTAACCGGTTCGCTGTCAACTTGTTGACTTCCTCGGAACTATGAGCTATCTGCTACTTTCCCATCAATAACAGAACATCAACCATCCAATGATGGCCCTCTTTTCTCTGGAACTTCCATCATGGGTTGCCAGAGCCAAAGCATGCGGGCAGGGCACATGTGACTAGTCACGTGAGCTGGCTCGGCCGGCGTGGCGCAAAGAAAGCAGGCGGAAAAGCCGGAATCTGTACCGCTCAGGGCGGTGGTGGCTGGGGCGTGCTTCAGGCTGGCTCGAAAGGGTATGTGCTGAAATATTAGTAATCACTTGGCAATCTACCCACTTTGAATCTACCTTAGATGAGGGTCTGGTAGAATGGATAGAAGCTTGGCAGCCAGCCGACTACTAGTAGATTCCGAATCTATTTTGGTAGATAGATGCAGACCCCTGAAGGTGGGGGGGGACGGGCTATCACTCTTCCGGGACTCAACGCGAGGCGATTTGTGCATCGAGCCGGAAAAAGAAAGGGCACGCGGTTCTCAAGCTGGAAGGATCGGGAGGCGGGACCAGACGGGGCTCCGAGCAAACCCACAGACACGAGGCGTGAACCCATAAATAAGATGCCACGGGGAGTTGTGCTCAGGCCACGGATATATGGCACTGGCGAAGTGGACGCGCCGGCGCTCTGGTGCGGCGTTGGTTCTACGAAGCGGTCACAGAACATCTATCATGGGTGAGAATGCCGTGGTAGGAGTATACTCGTGTATTGCGTGGTTGCACGAGGAACTGGAACTGGGAGGCGGGGCGCGCTCAGGGAAAAGCCTGCTCGTGCCTGCGCACAGGCCACACTGCGCAGTACCCGGGTACTATGCTTGCTCCGCTGGAACACATACTACCTATCTTTGTTGCTCCGTATAACTACGGTCAATAAGGACGTCTAATACACACCGTGGCTTGATGTTTCAGGACGGATGCAGGTCGCTATATGGTGTAAGAGATTGGGAATAGAGAAGGGAGCAAGCGTGGGCGAGTTGTTGACGTTAGACCAACGTCGGTAACTACCTACCTGATTGGGCAGGGTTGGCTGATTGATTTGTTTTCGACCACGCGCCAATAAATCAGCCCCAGGTGGCGCACTCGTTCGAAATTGCCAAGCAGGTCCTGACGCCCCTTACCTTACTTTCACCCGTCGCCGTTTGTTACAGCATTGCCGAGGTCCCCGAGTCAATTCGTTCTTCCGTTTTACGTGCGGCAATATGAAACGCAAGACGGATGCAATGGCTAGCGTGAGGAGGAAGCGACACAGGAGTGACAAGGAAGAATACGGGCCTGCAAGACTGTTCCAAGAGGGCGACTCCGCGAGGGACCAGGCCCGACCTCACCGGGTGGCCATAGCGGTTTTGCCCGTGGGGGCGCTCGATTTCGGCTGGAGCGTGGGACAGAACCGGCCGCTGGATGAACGTCATGCTCGCAGACTATGCGGGATCTTCGAGCAAGGGGGCCTCAACCGAAAGGCGCAGGAGAACTACCTCCGCGTCCTGTGCAGCGGTGCGGATGTGCAGCGGATGCTGACGCACGTGCGGCGCGGGGAGTCTTCTGCCGACCGCGGCGTGGATACCGTACACGACTTCCGCGACTGGATGAGCGTGAACGGAGGTCGTAAAGCAGAGCTGATTGCCGGCCAGCACCGGGTCAGAGCGCTCGGCATGTATCTACAGGAGACGGGGCGCGGCGAGGAAGAGGCGTGGTGGACTTGCGAGTTCTACGACCAAGGTACGCGCTCCGACCCACCCACCCATGAGCTGCTTGCACCTGCTGAGAGATCGCGCAGATCATCTACCTCTCGATCTCAACATCAAGCTCCGCGTAAACCGCCGAGACCCGTCGCTCCCGGACAGCCACGGACAGATCTGGGCGCAGCTGGTGTCGGCGGCGTCGCAAGTCCCGGGTGAGCTGTTCCGAGGAAAGAACCTGGAGATAGAGAACCAGATGCTGGATTTCTTACAGCTACGCAGCGACGCCCGGTTCCCGACCAGACGCCTGGTTACGCTGTGGAAGAACGCGAGATGGAAGAGCATGATCACGCGGTGGTGTGAGACGAGCCTCGGGCGGGCCACGTTTCAGGTATCTACATGGGAGTGGATGTCCAGCTGCAGGATCGACGACGTAAGTGCCGCCCGCCACCCGGTACTCGTAGGTGACCACGCGCCCTGACCGGCGGATCGCAGTTTTGGTTCTCGGCGTTCCGGAGCGTGCTGTCGACGCTGACGCAGCTCCCGGGCGTGCCCGCAGACAAGCTGCCGGCGGCAGACTGGGCGATGTTCTCGACATCACTGCCGGCCGGCTACACGGACGCGCAGGCGGCCGAGCTCTTCTACCCGGGCTCGGAGGCCGGTACGGCTACGAGGCGCCGGCCCGACTTCCTCGCCATGCTGGGGGACGACGACTACCGAAAGGTGTACGAGCGCGTCGCGGGCGGCAGGCCGAGGCTGCGGTTCGTCGACGTGCAGAGCCTGCTCCGGACCTCCAAGGAGGACGGCCGGGTCATGGTTCAGGTGCTAAGCCACGTGGTCGCCTGGCTGAACCCCGACCCGACGCGGGTACATGACAAGCGGGACAACAACAAGCCGCCCCTGTGGAAGGACCTGGTGCCGGGGCTGCAGGCCTGCTCCGAAGAGCAGATACGATCGGGCGCGAAACGGCTCTGGACGGAGGGAGACGCACCGTCCGGGGCCGAGGGCGCCGCCAGGCTCCTACAGCAGGAGGTGCTCGAGTTTGTACGGGGCAATACGGCAGCGTTCAAGGGCGCATCGACGAAGCAGCACCTGGACCGCCTCCCGGAGGCCGCGGGCGAGCCGCTGTACGCGCAGCGGTTCCTGGACCAGACCTCCTGGGGCCGCGTCCTCACCATCGTGAGGCAGTACGTCGGTGCCGATTTCCAGCCTACATGGGCAACCTCGGGCAGCCCCGGACGGGCGTTTTCCAACAAGCCCGTGTCGGACCTGACCCGTGCTATCTGCGCGGCCAGCCGGACGGCTCCAGAGGTCGCGCGCAACCCGGCACTGAGCACCAGGCACGCGCTGGAGGCGCTCGGGACGCTGATAGACGAGGCAGTACTACGGTGGGCGGCCCAGCAGTGTGAACAGGCGCCGGAGAAGCGGTCGGATCCTGCGGGAAGGACATGGCCGGCGGAGACCGTAGCAGAGGGCCGGATCGATCCGCCGGCGAGCTCAGAGCCCAGGGCGGGCGAGAGCGAGAGCAGCGGCAACAGCAGCCGCCCACGGCTAGAGCAGCAAGGAACCACAGCCGCGCGGGTGGGTGGCGCGTCGGCAGTCGAGCCTCCGACCGGTGGCAGGGCACAGGTTGGAGAAGGCAGCGGTAGGAGCCGGCCGCAGCGGAGACCGCTGCCCTCCTCGTGGGGGCTTCGGGCGGTAGAAGAGGACAGGCAGGTGGTGCAGGATCCCCCTCGCAGGATTTCTCCCCGGTCGTCGCCGCCGCTCCCGTTGAGCCCCGGTGGGGGCGGTAGGGGGATTTCTCAGAAAGGCAGGAACAAGCAGTCTCCCGCCTGGGCGCGAGGGGTACAAGCAAAGAGCCGTAGCTAGGTAGTGTCTGTCGGTGGCGAGCCAATAGCTGCGGGTCGTTCTCCGTTTGCGCGCGCGACTCGCGTTTCGGGGCTGAAAAGAAGCCTCGCACCTTGGGTGTTGCTTTTTGTCCGCAACCTTGCCCACACCCTTGCCCGTGTCCCGGCCTTTCGGAGCGATCCATACATACAATACCCCCTTCAACCCCAGGGGCCATGTATCCCTCGGCGGTGCTTGGCTCTCGCGGCTGGGTAGCCCTCACATCATGATGGAAACCCACGACGAAGAGACGAGCGCCCCCACCGCGGACGACGAGTTCGGGTTCGACCCCGAGAACATCGGCGAGGAGTATAACGACGGCCTTAGTGGATATGCCTCGCCGGAATCCGTCGATCGGCTCTATCTCAGCGATGCCGGCAGCGGTGAAGACGGCGGCACCAACCCGCACGAGGCACAATGGCGGGTCGACCACGCGTCGGGCGACTACAAGCTGAAGGGTAAGGATTCTCATCGCTTCGGATCGAGCGGGCCACTGACGCCCAGTTGTACGCAGCCGAGTCGTTCATATCCAAGACTCGACGGCCCGATTTCGACGGAGCGCAGGCGCTGGAGATGGTCCACCGGCGATACACCATCGACTACGCGTCCAGGACGGCGGGATCGAGGCCGGCGAGCGACGACGACGGATACTACCCCGTGTTCCATCTCGACATGCTCAGCGTCGTCGGACGGGCGCTCCGGCCGGTCACGGCCCGCAGCCGGCGGATATTCGACAACGTGACGGTGACTTTCCAGAGGTGGAGCGCGCCGTACGGCTCGAGGCACACGGCGAGCGGCCTCCCGTTCGAGCTCGCCGGCCGCACGTTTCGATTCGCGACCGGGGCGACGCGGGAGGTCTGGTTCATCGTCATGCACCCGGTGCAGGCGCCGATGGCCGAGCTGCCGTACGCGGGGAAGGGACGGCGGAAGGGGCAAGGCCCGTCGTCGCAGCGCAGCGCCCTGGAGCGGCATCACGCCGAGGTGCTCGCCTCGTACATTAAAGACATCTTCCTGGAGGGCGAGCTGCTGGGCGAGGGGATCGAACCGTCGTGGAGGCTGGACGGGCGGCAGTCGCAAACGATCTCGTATGACAAGTGGGCCACATTCCAGGAGCTCTTCATGGAGGGCTGGGCGGGAATGGTGGCGCAATACGCGCACGACGCCTTCTGGCTGGAGAACGAGCCAGCCTTCCACGCGTACGACCACGGGGCCAACACGGTCATCGAGGTCGGCGGGGCGCTACAGGACCTCCCCATGGAGATACGGCTCCGGCCCGACGAGAACAGCGAGGACAGCGAGGACAGCGAGGACAGCGAGGATAGCGGGGATAGCGGGGACAGCATCAGCGAAAGCAGGAACGAGGATCGCGATAGTGACGACACCAGCCAGGACCGGCCCCGCCCCAGGCGCAGCACGAACGGCGAGTCGAGCATAGCATCGGCGGCGGAAGGCTTGTCTCCGGGCGGGGAGGACGGGCAGGATGCGAGCGGCGAGGGCGATGCAGATGGGGACGCGGGCCCGGGCCTGTTCAGCGGGGAGCTGCTGGCGTTGCGCTCGGAGCTGCAGGAAAAGTACAAGCTCGAGAATATCGAGCATTTCTCGTACGCGCTCGCGGTGGACGTCAACTGCGCGGACGCCGTGGACGGGACGCCGGTCTGTCTGCTGGCGGATCGGAAGAGAGTGGCCGGGCAGTACGGGAGCGGGCGGGACTTCACGTTCTACCCGCTCGCGTTCCACCCGAGGTTCGGTAACTTCTCGTCGGCGCGGCCGCCGGCGTACCTGTCACACCTGTGCGCCATCATGAGGGAGAACGCGAGCTACGAGAACGAGGGCGCGGACGTGCTCTCGTTCGGGTACTTCCAGGCGTACTCGAACATCAAGCGGGTGATCCGGCACCGGCCGGAGGATCTGCTGGCGACGAAGGGCTCGCGACGGCGGCGCTCCACGCTGCCCCCGGCGGAAGCCAGCGCGACCGGGTACGTCGGAACAGCAAGAAGCGACTGCTCGGGCAGCTGTGCGGGGGCCTGACGCCGGACGCGCCAGAGTCGTCGACGCCGTTCGCGCGGGAGAGACAGCGGCTGGAGGCGGCGGTCGACAAGGGCGAGTTCGCCTTCCGCATGGAGCAGGTGGTGACGGTGAGGGTGTCGCGTCTCCTCCGGGAGAAGCGGGACTTCAGTACCGTGCTGCACCCCATCTTCCAGCTGATGCGCTTCTTCCTGATAGACGTCGGCTCATATACGCCCGTCCTCCGCAGGTTCCCCCCGCCCGTGTTCCCCGCGGTGCTCGGGTCGTTCGCGAGGGTCTTCGAGCTGGCCCTCGGCGAGATGGAGAGGCGGTTCCGGTGCAACGGCGACAAGGGCCTGGGGCTGGCGCTGTCCGAGGGCACCGCGGCGCTCGACCGGCTCGGAAACTTCTGCTTCACGGGGGACCCGAGGGTGCTCCCGTCCACTGTGCTCGGGCCGCTGGGGACGATAGAGAGCCTGCAGACGGGGGCGTGGCCGTTCCTAGCGCCGGACATGCTGGACCTCCGGGAGAAGCACGGCCTGACCAACACCGAGAAGTGGCCACGGGACGGGGGCGGGCAGCCGATCCTGATGCACGTGGCGGCGCTGGCGTTCCACTACGGGCCGGCCGTCGCGGCGAGCCGGCAGAGCCAGCTGTGGTTCGGCGAGATCGGGAGCCGTGGCATCCGGCACCTGTCGGGCGCGGTCCAGTTCATGGAGAAGGTGTTCCGCGAGCTGTGGGTCCCGCAGACGATGTCCTTCGTCGCGTACCAGCTGCGGCGGCGTATCAACCAGGGCCGCCGCGGCCAGCTGGACGGCGGGGACGGTGTAGAACAGCGCGGCGCGGCGAAGGTGGCCGTGGACAGGTGGTTCGAATGCGACGAGCCGTTCACGTGGAGGTGCGTATCCTTCCCTGGTGAGCCGCCCGGCTAGCCTACCTAACACGTGAGCAGGGAGTACGAGGCCCTTGTGGGCGCGGTGTGCCCGGAGGGGCGGGGCGGCATGGCCATCTCGCCCAAGGCGAGGCACGACTTGGCCGTGGAGATATACGACGCGTGCGTGGGCAAGAAGACGTCGCGGCCAGCCGCGATTTCGTCCATGCACGCCACGTGGCTGCCGATGCTTAGAGCGGCGATGCTGCACACGAGCGGTGACGTAGTATCGGCAGACCAGTGGGTGGACGGGCTGGCGACGGCGATGGCGGTGAGCGGGGTCGAGTGGACGCCCGGATCGCACCGGGGCAGGATGACGTGCGCCAGGGTCATACGGCTGGGCGGGGCGGTCGTGAGCAAGCCGGCGCTAGCGGCGCGGCCGGGGAGCCTGAAGCGGGCGGCGATCGAGGCGTCACAGCAACTGGAGGCGGCGGCGGGGCGGTCAAAGAAGGCGAAGAGGCGGGTGATCGGCTTCGGCTGCCAAGTCCCGTTCGAGAGGCTGCCGAGGCTGGTCGAGGACGGGTTCGAGCGGCTCGGGCGGATCTTCGAGAAAGGGGACCGGCGTATCCTAGACCACTATCAGGCGGCGCGCAACCTGCTGGAGAGCTGCCTCGGCGATCCGCTGTACGACCTGATGATGATGCTGACGCTGACGGTGGCGGCGTCCTCGGTGACGCCGCAGGTGGCGCCGGGAAGTCGGGAGTTCAGCGCGGCGGCGAAGCGGAAGGAGCCGGAGCTGCTAGCCGCGAACATGGTGACGCGGATGTTGTGGTTCATGCGCCCGCAGTCGTTCCCGTGGGATGCGGACGAGAAGGGCGTGCTCCGAGTAACGGAGATGACGAAGAAGATTGGTGAGTGGCTCGAAGCTAGGGTCTTGGTCCTGCGCTTACACCGTTCCAGAACACAAGGGCGTAAACAACCGCGTGCTAAGGGAGCTAGGGTGGATAGACGTGCAGGGTCGGCGCGACAGCCCGCGGAATAGCGACTGTAAGCTGCGGTCGCCGGAAGAACTATACAAGCTGCGGCGGGACCTGTTGTCGTTGAGGAAGGAGCCGGAAGCGTTTATCCTAAAGGTGTTTCGGAGCGCCGATAGGGTGTGGGTCGATAGGTGTTCGTCCATCGTTGTCGATCGTTGAGTACGAAACCGTGTGCAAGGCTCTCTGTACCTCACCGCTCTCCTTATCCGTGGATCCACGACGAACTGAAGTCTGTTTCATTGTTTCATAGAGAACCCCATACTAGCCCAAATGGCGCTAGTGAAGTCAAGGGCTCAATTTCATAGAGGTAACATGGGTCCGCTTCATAGACCATTTTCATGTCAAATTTAATAAAGCCAGTATGTGCAAAATACTGAGATTAAGCTGGTTTCTATAGGATAGAGGGCTTAGAGAGGAACTAAATTTTACGAGAGTAAATGGATATTGAAACTGGGAGTTGTGATTGATGGGGGGCGACGGTTTATTGGCCGCCGACGCGCAGCGTATCCGGTTCCCCGACGAGATTATACCCGCTATTGATGGATTGCCCGTTTGGCGCGATGGCAAGAAGTGCGTGCAGTGTGGGTATATCCGGCGTGCGAGGTACCATATCCAGGAGCATTGCCGGTCGGAGCATGGTTGGACGAACCCGCGGAAACGCAGCGGCAAGCCCGGGGCAAGGCCGGCGGGCGGGTTAGGCGAGGCGTGGGTGGACGGTATACATTTCCAGCGATTCGGCCGGACGGGTGCGCTGCAGCGTTTGTTCGAGGCGGCGGCGCGGGCCATCAAGGAGAAGGACGAGGCGG